GGCCATGGGGTTCCCATCACTATCCCCATCCCCATTCCCCGCCAACAAGCATCCCATCTTTGCCAGCGACGACTGTCGTCTGTCTGTCAGTCAGTCAATCAATTAGACACCTGTTGCACCGTGTGGCAAGTGTGCTCAGCGCTAGACAGACAGCCTGACAGTTAGCCACAGAAATGGGAGGACAGATCCGATGATAGATGTCTAAGGAATTCCGGCTTCCACTCGGGGCAAGCGGCAACCCAAATTCCAGCAGAAAGCACCCACAGGAAGTTCTCCACTGCATTTCCTTCTCTGTGGCACTTCCTGTCAGGCGTTGCCTCCTGCCCCAGCCTCCAGCCTCTTGCCCGCCTCTTGGCCTCTGCCATATATTGTTAATCGATTATTAATGACTTTGGCGCAATTAAGTAACAAACAAAGCAAAAATCGCTTCATCAAAGCAGCGAGCAACATGCCATTACCCATTAACAGGCCAGGCCAACAGGCGGTGGCTTCTACCCTCAAGCGAGCGACCAGGGGGAGGCGGTTCCTGCCATCTCAAACATGGCCAAGACGTCCAAGCCACAGGCAGAGAGAGAGACTGGGAGGCTGGGGAACGACATCCAACCGGCTCCTCCATCGGAGTAAAAGTTTTCAGAAAAAAAAATGCAGCAAGTGCAGTCCACACGGCAGACCACGGCGCAGGCGTCCTCCGATGGCAAAGATCTTAAGAAAAATCAACATGCAAAAACCGAAAACCGCCTTAAAATGTGAAAATGCGAATGACCTGAATACACAGATACACACACACACACACACACACACACACACACACACACACACAAACACAAAGAGAGACAGACAGACAGACACTGAAATTGATAGCACACACAAGTCGGGCATAAGGGGGGCAACAAGGGGGACGCATGCGCAACATACACGCAACGCCAAAGAGCCTTAAAAGGCAGGCTACGATAGCAACAACAACAACAACAAGATCGATCGACGACCGCCGACCAGCGACCAGCGACGATTTCCTTTTCTGCGCTTTTTAGTTTTTTTTGTTGGTTTTGTTTTTGTTTTGTTTTTTTTGTTGTTTTTGTTTAAGCTGCAGGCAAACTAGTTTTACGTACAGCTTGGTCAAATACCCTGTAAATAGAAGGGAGGGAGAGTGAGTGAGAACTTTGGACAACTTTGATGAGCAGAAGAAAGACGACAAAAACTCTTGCAAATAAGCGAAATTTTTATTGCCATAAATGAATCATTACTTTTTTTTTGGTAATTTTCAATAGATCTATAGATCCACGCAAGGGTACCAAAACCCATTCGAATCCTCAGTATGGAAAACTTTAAATTTTTGTCCACATATTTTTCTTTGTTTCTGTTTTCGGGCGACACTCGACGACGCCACATCGCACTTGCAGCTTTTGCCTTAATTGGCCACACTGTCAGGCCGCTTGCGCCCCTCTGCCTGGCCTGCCCCCCCTTCCTTATGACCACACTGTCGGCGAACGCCTCCTGCTTTTGGCCACACTGTCAGCCATAGCCTCCTTTTGGTTTGCCATTTAATTTATGCAAAATATTTTCAAATATTTATTGAGCATTTTTCTACACTCTTTCTTTCGCTCTTTGCCTCTCAGTCTCTTCGAGAGACTCTCTCTCTCTCTCTCTGTCTCTCTCTCGCGACACTCTCTCTCGTTTTATTAACACATTTCCCCAATTTGCTGTTCCCCTCCAAATGAAAATGAAAAGTTCACGAGGGGTAAAACTCGTTTGGTTATACATAATATTTCGCGGAGGTGCCTCCGCCTGCCTGCCTGCCTGCCTGCTGATCATCTGTTGTGTTGGCCCGTTGACAAGCCTCAGATTTCAGCGTTTTTTTTTCGACATGCATGGATGCAGAACTAGAAACGGAGAGGAGGAGGGTCTCGGCGGAGGCACAGCCAAAGCCAAAGCTCAATGAAGCGCGTAAATTGTGGCGTCTCCTATGGGGGTCATACGTGCCAGAACCAAAGTATTCCCGGATCTAACGATGCATGGAGAATGCCTCTCCAGTGACAAATGAATAATGTTTTAGCGCTGACTTTTGGTCAAATCAATTAAATTTTTATAATTGCAAAACAAATAAGAGAAAATAGATAGAGCAAGAGCTATAGAGATAGAGCGAGAGTAGCAGAGTGTAGATTGCTGTACTCTGTACTTATGTTTATTAGCCAACTTTTATCACCTTTCATTCATCTGTGGCATAATCTCTGCGGGAACTCTGCCACCTGGCTGCCACTCCCCGCACTCTGCCCCATGCTGCCACATTCCATGGGGAATTTCTCTAACAATTAAACAGCCAGAAGTGAGCCCACATCGTAAACACCTTGCCACAAGTTGCATTTTAATTAGTTTTTGCAGGCAGCAATAGAAAAGCTGAAAAAATAAATTAGAAATCAAGAAGGCCGCGGCGGCGGCCACTCCCTCTCTTTGGCTGGCACAACAATTTGAACAGCAATAAAACGCATTCGAGTCGAGATTGGATTGGATGCAATCGCATTCCAAGAATTACAAATAGGTAGAATACCTGTGCCCCTTGCCAGCGCCAATTGCTGTGATAAATGAGGCACTTGCTGCAAAGCTACAAACAGGTGTTTGGTCATGTATGGTCAGGTCTTTGTCTTTGTCTTTGCCAGGCCCTACAAGAGAGAGAGACATACATTTCATGGCTAGAAGCAGAAGCAGTTGCCGCCCGTAAAAGGTAGTGGAACAATCCATAAAAGCCAAAACGTGTTTGCCAGACCAGCAAAGAAGGTTGTGGCACCTTCTACTCCACGAGTTGAGTGCGGCGGCGGCGGCGTTGGCATAGCTTCAATGGTTCTACAGGTTTCGTCTGGTTCTGGTTCCACTTTGATTTTCATTGCCCATAAATGGTGAATTATTTGTGCTGCAGATCTCGCGATCGATCTGAGCTGAATTATGCCTCAAATGGTGGCTGCCACTCCAATAGCTCTTCAACATTAATCATAAATACTTCCGTGTGTGGCGTGGAAGGTGCTGAAAGCGGAAGATTGTTGCCCCAGTGCCCCCCAGCCCCGCCTAAGACCTTTCTTCCACAGATCCAATCCATCAATCACGCAGTCTACGAGTGGAGCAGCAGACAGCAGGCAGCGACAGTTGCTTCAACTTTAAAGTATGGGTTAAAAAAGATTAACTGCCAGTTAGCGCTGACCAAAAGCGGGGGGGAAATGCGGAAAAGAATTAGCTTTCATTTTTGCCATTTGCGAAATTTGAAACTGCTGCAACCCCAGCAGAAGGGTGCCTGTTGGGGGTTAATTCATTTGCCCAGAAACGGGGTGGAAATATCCTGTTTCGAATGTTTACCCAAGGATTGTCCTTTGCCATCGCCTCTTTGCCTTTCCTCTTTCTGCTGCAAACTGTTTTCACTCTTTAATGGGGAAGACGAATCCTTCTTAGACCCGAGCGTAACATTAGTTTAACAAGTTTAAAAGCTGCTTAAACTGATCCTCCACATTGAAGGGCGGCCCCTCGGTGGGTGGCTCCGTGGTGGGCGCCTCCGTAGTCGTTGTGGTTGTGGTGGTGGTCGTTGAGGTGCTCGTGGAGGAGCTGGTGGTGGGCACGGGCATCGGCTTGGGCTTCACTCGGCCATCCAGACAGGCCTGCAGATAGTTGTAGTTGGTGGCGGTGGCCTCCACATAGCGCCGCTCGGCCTTGTGGATGCACTGCTCATGGGAGAGCTCCACGACACGATAGCGCTCCTGCAGCAGGCTGGCGGACTCTGAGGCATTCCCCGAGATGCTGTACGTGGCAACGGTGTTGTTGGAGCCCTAATGGGAATCCAGTTAGAAGGGGGGGAACTGGAACGTCTCTCTTTGGAAGCACTCACCACAGTGGCGTGACAGTTGAAGGAGTCCAGGGTGCCATTGATGCGGTTGCACTTCCTTAGATCCTCGCACACTCGCCCCGCTGACCGTTCGATGGTCCTGCGGGTGGGTATGAAGTCGCTATCGATGCCCTTGCGCGAGTTTTGCGCCTCCTTGGCGCAGACGCTGTAATTGGCACTGTAGACCTCGGCGATTTGATTGGACTCGCCAATGTAGCCGCCAAAGCAGGCCACCGAGGCCAGGGGATCGCGACGTGTCACCCGGGAGTTGAGGAACAGATGGGTGAGGCCATCCTGCGTGGGCAGGCCCACATACGGTGGCAGTGGCCGGCTGATGGCCTCCGCGGAGGGAGCCAAAAGCACTGCAGCACCGCAGACCAGCAGCAGCAGCAGGGAGGCGACACCAGAAGCAGCAGACATATTTCACGGTAGCAGCAGGTTGGATGGGAGACTACTGATCTAGTTTTGGCGCATTACCTCTTTTTATACGCCCGACAAACGGCCGGATGATGACATCCCGAGGAATGATAACGACCATCCCCGTCACCATCCCCGTTTCCATCCCCGTCACCATCCCCGTGGTTATGTGATTTCCTTTTCGCGATGCTAATGCTTATCTGCAATCTGCTTGGCTTTGCTTTGCAATAATTGCTGTTGCCGCATTATCTTTTGGACTCCCTCGAAAGATAAACCACAGAGAAACATTCGAAAGGAAACATTTAAATAAATTGTACAGTTCTAAGCAAATGATAAACGGAGCATTGAAACTCTCTCTTTTTTTATGGATTTATTTCCAACTCAAATGCATTCTGCCAGAGGGAAAGGGAAAGCCTCTCCATTGGGAAGTTGGGGGGCGGTAGCTTCTAGGTAGCCATTAAATATTATCCTAAGGCAAACCCCTGCCCCACAGTCAAGTCAGAGCAGAGAGATAGCGTTGGCTGCCCTCTCACATATATTTTCTGTTTGCTTGAGGGTCTAATTTTATAATATCTCTGTAAATATTGATAGAATCTTTTTTTTTCGCTGAGGCGCCGCCGGATGAGCAGTCGCATTGCGCCCTCGAGTGGCGCGGGGGAGGATGTAATAAAATGTGTGTGGGGATGACTAAACCCACCTATAAATATAAGCCTGCATATATGTAAATAGTTTTTTTATTACCGTCTTAAATGGTGTTAAAACTTAAACTAGATATCACAAAACCCCACCAACACCTACACCCATGGTAATTCCTAGGGTTTTCTGGGCTTCAAGCCCACATTAATGCCACAGGGCGAACGCAGGATAAAGTTCATCATGGGCTTGACGTCTGATCCCAGGGGGAGCAGCTCGTAGTATCGCAGCACCTTGCTGATCAGCGCCTTCATCTCGAGCATCGCAAACTTCTGGCCAATGCAGTTCTTGGGGCCCGCACTGAACGGCAGATAGGCGAAGGTCTCCCGATCCTCGGAGACTGCGTTCAGGAACCTCTCCGGCTTGAAGGCGAGCGGATCGGGGAAGTACTCCGCCTCGCGATGGGCAAAGTAGAGCACCAGGTAGATGCTCGTATTGGCGGGTATCGTCTGTGCGCCGATCTGTAGCTCTTTGGTGGTGTATCGGCCGACGGCCGGCACGGGGGGATACAGTCGCATCGTCTCCTTGATCACGCACTCGAGATACTTGAGCTCCTGCAGCTTCGATTGGGTGACTGGAGTGGAGCGATCGTTGCCCAGAACTTGTACAAGTTCCGTGTGGATCCGCTCCTGCACTTGGGGATGTCGCGAAATGGAGTAGAGGGCATGGGAGACGCCACTGCTGGTGGTGTCATCGCCCTCGAACATAAAGGTGTCCACCTCCTCGCGTATATCGGCATCGCTCAAGGGATGCCCATCGATGGTTGCCTGCAGCAGGATGTCCAGCAGAGCCATTTGCGCCTTGCGACCCACCTCGGGATCCCCCAGACCTGTGTGTGGAAAGCGTCTCAGAGCCATGATTGATTGTTCCCCTAGATGTGTGATGTAGATCCACTTACTTAGCGGCCTGTAGCTGCCGTCGGCCCTTGCCTGCTCCACTGTGGCGCGCCGCTCGCGTATGACCTTGTCGGTGAAGTCATGCATGATGCGAATATCCCCCAGCAGCTTGCAGTGCAGCACGGGGCAGGTGCGACTGAAGAGCCAGTCGAAACGCTGCGAGAACTTGAACATGCGATCAGATTGGATGTTCACGACACTACGAACGGGAATGGAGAGAGATCAGGCGAGAGATCAACCAAAAAGGCGATTACGGAACGTACCTCTTGAGCGCCTGAACGTAGGGAAACTTGGGATCGCTTTGGGCATTCACTTGCACCCCCATGGCGGCCTCTAAATGAGGGATCGAACCAAACCAAGTCAAACCATTAGGATCTCCAGGGATCAGTGATCAGTGGCATGCACTCACCCGTGATGACATCCAGGGCTGCCAGTGAGACAAATCGCAGCATATCCACAGCCGTCTCGCCATCAGCCACCTCCCGGAGCTGCTGCACCATCACTGCACTATGCCTGTCCATTATGCACACATAGTGCTCCAGCACATTAAAGTGGAAGGCAGTCGTGAAGACCTTGCGCCTCGCGTGCCACTTTTTGCCCACACTGACGAGCAGACCATCGTTGAGGAAGGGACGCAGGTACTTGTAGAGCTGTCCCTTTTCCAGGAGCGTGGTGCTGCCCAGAATGGCCTCGAAGTGCTTCAGATCCTTGGTGTAGACCAGCGATTCGCCCAGTATCCACATGCGAAAGGTTTTGCCATAGATACGAAAGGATTCACCCACCCAGTCGATGATGTCTGCAAAGGCCACGGCTGTATTCCTTTGCTCAAGTGGATTTCTCGCCACTACTTACTGTCTGCTCCCAGGCTTAGGGCCTGCAGGCCATTCCCCAGTATAGGCAGCGACAGGGGGCCAGAGATCTTGGACCTCTTGAAGGTTGCCACACGCTGGCGCTTGCGCATAAAGTCCCAGCTGAGGAGCAATGCCAGAGCTGCAATGGCGAGGGTCAGCAGCAACATTACAAACAGAGAATCCGAATCAGAGCTAGAGCTAGAGCTAGAGATGGAGATCAGAGACCAGAGCCAGTGCCTGTTGCGTTGTGTCTGCCGTCGAGTGTCGCGTTGAACTGCCGCCGCCCGTCCGCTGTTGTTCGATGATAAGAGACCGCGCTTGACCAGCCAAGCGCCAAGTGCGAAGCGACAGAGTTTTTTTTTTAGTTTAGTTTTTGAAACTCAAATATATAGAATGCGATTCTCTCGCTCAATGTCTGATCGGACATGGCTCTCTGTAGCTGTGTAGAACTGGTTTAAGTAAGCAAAAAACATTGCAAACATTCGTATGGCGTTTATTTGAAGCTTCAAAGTTCGACTTTTGCATACAAACAAAAAACGCGGGCTCCAATCGGACAACCAGAACGAGTACCCGCCCGTCGCACAAATAGTTTTATATACATATGCGATAATTAAAATGCAACGAAGTATAAGTTTCATTTACGAGTTGGTTTTTTTTTCAACAACAAACAGCGATGAGATCAGGTTTTCATCAATATTAGTATCTGCGAACAATGTAATCAAACAGAGGCATTTGCATTTAAATCTATGATGATCATTTTTATTAGAAATGATTACGAAACCTCTTAGAACAAGGCTCTCAATCAGGCAGCAATTAACAGGTATAAATTTATGCAGCAGACTAACCCTTGGGATGACATGGATTGAGTGCTGCTGCTGTGGCAACAGTAGGAAACAGTAGCAGAACGCATCTGCCGCAAGACACGACACGAGCACTTGACTCTTCAGATTCTCATGCTGCAGCAGAAGCTTCAGCCTAAACAGCTGTGACAATCGGAGCGACTCGAGGCGACACGACATGCGGCAGGCGGCAGGCGGCAGGCGGCAGTTGAATGGACTTTTGCCATAGCGATTGCCGGAGTAGTAGTTCTTGTAGCTGCTACCTCGTTGAACTTCACGGCAGAGTTCATTGGAGTTGAGGCAAAGTTCCACAACTCCGACGCTGCCGCCGCCGCTGACGCTGCAGACAGAGACAAAACAAAGCCAAGAAGTACATTCACTTTGGCGGTCAATTAGGGCACTCGAATGACATCCGCACATGCTTTCCATTGTTACGGCGGTGGGCTCGGGCTCTGTCTCGGGCTCTGGCTCTCTTTCTGGCTAAGACAAACAACCAAAGAACCCAAAACAAGTTGTCAAAATGTCAAAATCCACAGATAGAAAAAAAGAAAAGAAAAAAGAAAAAAAAAGAAAAGAGACGCTAAAAGGCAACTTCTATGACGCTGAACAGAACGGAAAACAGAAAACGTAAAACGTAGAACAGAAAACGGTAAACGGGAGGCAGCGTCATAATATCTATAAGAATGAAAGAAAAAAAAAAACACACAGAGAAATGATAGAAAAACGTTGACTCACGTTGTTCCCAGGGAAAATCAAAAAGCCTAAAAAAAATAAAAGATGAATTAAAAAAAATTGTTGTGGTTGGATTTGGAACATTCAAAAGGTAATTATGCGGGACCCACAAAACTGGAAAAACCCCGGTGCCCAGTGCCCAGTACCCAGTACCAGTAAAAGAGTCCCGCCCGGATATCAATCAATAAGCACCACGCCCCAGGCCCCCAACAACAACAACAACTCGAGGAAATCCAGTGACAGGCACGTAGTAGCCGAAATGCAACCCCACGGAGAACGAAAAACCCATTCAAGAGAGCTGAGCCTTCCCCTTACTCCTAGCCATGTGCAGCCAAGGCTAACAGCAGCTCCCCATCGAGCCATCCAGCCACAGACTGGGGCTAAAGATGAAGTGGCGGCGGGGAGGGGGTTTTGTTTCTTGGTTTCCTTTGTTTGTTTTGCCGAAAAAAAACGCATGTTTCCTGCTTCCGCTGCTGCAGTCACCACCGCACTTCTCTTGAGCTGAGGTACGATATCTGTCGTCTAGCCAGGTGGTGAGAGGGGGAGTCACTCAACTTTGTGGGCGGGGTGGAGGAACTGAAACCAACTGCCATATCATCCCACAGCTAACTCCTCCTCATCGACAGCAAATCCTCTGCCTCCTCCCCGCCTCATCGACAATGGGAACAAAGAAGAGAGTTTTGTTTTGACGCGTATTTCCATTCGGCTTTTTCGGGTTGCCCCGGACAACCGGCGTAAATGGTATAGAAAAACATGTCTGGTATGCACCGAATGGGGGGGGAGAGGCGTAGCGGGAGGAGGGTGGAGGCCACTCCAACAGAGGGGTTGCTGCAGACAGCACGTGTCTGCAGCACTGCGCCTGCCCGTAAAATAACAAAAATCAGCTGACTGGCTGAATGAAATGGAATGAATGAATGTTGAGGCAGCAAAGTAGCCAACACTCGAATGTGCCCCAACATAACACACACAATATTAAGTACATACAGACGAGTAGTAGATGTGACTAACAGAGCTAATCTATTAACAGACGAGGCGACGACGACAACACCTTGAACTTGAGGTGAAGCACTGACTGCGACTTTTAACCCAGAGCAGCACTCGCCAAAAAAAACACCGAACAAAACATAAATGTTGGCAACTATTTTAACTAAAAACCTCTGGCTTGGGGGACAATGGCAGAGGGTCAGTGACTAATGAAATCTCGAGGGGCCACAGTAAAGCAAAAGCAAACTCTAGAGTGAACCATTAAATTATCCCTTGCTAATTTCAAAGTATTTTTTTAAGCTTTTTTGGATGTTATATTTCTGATCCAAAATTTAAATTAAAAATTAAAATTAAAATAAAATAAAATTAAATTAATTTAATAAATATTTTGTATTTTTGGTATTTCGATTGGAATTCTGAAGTGTTTTCTTTTATAAAATTTGAAGCATTATTTTCTAGTATTTCTATTATTTATTATGACTAAAACCCAGCGCATTTAATATACCTTAACCACTCTTGGAATACCGTGTAAAACGATTTAAAACCAGAGTGAATCCCAGCCACGTTGTAAGCCCATGTTGACGTTGTAATTTTGCATCATTACCACCGCCGTCCGAACCTCCCCTCGTGTCAGTGCGGCGTGGGAAAGTGAAGAGTTGGAGCGCGATCTTCATAGAGTTGCCCCTGCCCTCCCCCCCCAAACTTGAATCTCTGCTGCGATCTCTGCCATCTCTGGAATCTCTCTCTCGCTCTGCTGTGCTCCATTCCATTGTTTGAAATCTTCATTAGACTCTTCCATTGCTCACTCACTTAGTAAATTGTTTGGCGCCTTTGTGAGTAATTGTCACTCGAGTCATTTCCCTCTCTCTTTCTCTCTCTTTAACCGAAAATTGCAGGCACTTGAGAGGTTTGCCAAAGCAAATCTCTTGTCTGTGGAGTTGCATAAGTCGATTTATTGCTTACTTGGGGACTCATAGTGACGCGTCATATTATCTTGAGGGGCCCCCTCATCTTTCGCCCTTCTTTTCCTCTGATATTCCTGATGCCACCTGAGAGATTCATGTGCCCTCTGCTGCTGCCATACGATCCCATCCGCTTGACTTTTATTTGCGGTTCTGTAGGGGCCTGCAGATATGTACATATATCACGTTTAAATATTATTAGCTGTGAGCTGTGCATTTATATGTGCGTATATACATATATACGATTTAATTTGCTTGAGTTGCGGCTTTAACCTTCCTCGAACACCGCTCGAACCTTGATTTATTGCTATTTCTTGCCCCCCAAGTACTTGACACAGAGAGCAATGCCAATGACAGCGCCGCGACCCTCCAAAAGCAAAGATTGCCCATTCGCATTTGGCATTCCACGTTGCTGGAGATGCAACAAGTCTTTTGGCTTGCATAAATTTTCAATACCTCAAACGAATCTGTACATTTACGAGGCACTACATACAACTCCATTAGGCTGGGAGATAGATGCCGTGCGAGCTGCTCATAAAGAGCCATCTGCAGAGCCATCTTCCTCCCCGACACCACCACGATGGCGATGTGTGGCGTGCAATCATTTATGCCGCGCCAAATAGTTTATAAAACAATTCATTTTGTTATATCATTAGGCGGCCTGCTGCTCTGCCGCATTGCGCCGCACACAGAGCTGAGCTGAGGTGATCGCGTGATCACTCTCAGTCTCCGTATCGGTCGCCGTTTCGCGTTCACTTTTTGTTGGCCAAAAGAAATTTATAATTACGGCATCGCATCAGAGAAAGATTCAATTACAAAACATGTGAGATACGAGCTCTCCGAACAGCGATACTTGGGGGGGATGTTGGCCAAACTGCACATACATTCCACTTAAGGGAAACTATCGGGGAAAACATCCATCAGCTGTGGCATTCTGTTGGGCAAACACTAACCAAAGTGGACGTGGACATTGGCAATGGGTGTGCTAGATGCTAGCTCCTTGCCACACCTCGGAATGGTGGCAGCACTCAAACTAATTGCTTGCTAAACGGTTTCCAAACGGCAATTACTGCATTAAAACTATCAAACAAATAGCCAAATACGTGGCGTAGCCCAGGAGGAGCAGCCAGCCATGCGCGTGTCTGCACTTTGACCTATCAATCCCGGTGGGGGTGGAGTCCCACACCCATATCTATCTGTGGCCCATAGATAATCCGCAGACACAGCCCGTTGACCCCCCCGCACTTCCATTATTCCATTAGTTAAGCTTTTACTTTGATTTCGTTTCGTTTCCACTTTGAACTTTAGCCGCAAGGATGGATTTTCCTTCGAGTTTTCCTGCAACTAAAAAGATCAGACACAAAGGTGTCACACAAAGTCTCTCAGCTGTCTCTGGGCTGGCTCAGGTAGTTTTAAACTGGCTTAAACACCTGGCCAGCCATCCTCTCTGCTCTTGACCACTTTGCGCGCTGCTGCCTGTCCGCGCGCGCGGACTGTGTCTGTCTTTCTGTCAAAATTTTCCCCAATTAATGAGCAATTTAGCTGTCAGCAGGTCTCGCCTCGTTTGTTTTTACATACCTGCCGAAAACACCAACGAAAATGCAAACACCAACAAAAATGCAAACGAAGCCTCTGCCTCGGATTCAGATTTGGATTTCGGATTTCGGATCTGCACTGCTGGGACCACCTATCCTATGCTTGGACCTGCAGCAGCAAAAAATCTGCGCTCATTCGTCTTTCATTGGTTGTCGCGTGCAGTTCGGTGCCTTTTTCGCTCGCTAAGTGCTCACCAAACCCCAAGCCACACACACGTGTGCAGTGATTGTAAAACCACGTGCGCAGGGCAAACAGTGCTGGCCAAACCAGCTGCCCAGTTGTATCTCCTTTATCCTCCTCGTAAAGTAAACCCCTGGCAGTGCTTGCAGAACCCCACGTGCTCAGTGCTTGTAAAAGTGTAAGTGCGCTTCGTTTTTCTTTTTTTCCTTTTTTTTTGCATTGCCAAACATCGAAAACAGTGGAACTTGTTTCTTAGCGGTACTTAAATGTTGGCCGTCGCTATAAAAAAAAAACTCCAGCCAAGCCGTAATATACACTCACTCGTATTCGTACCAGATTCTGGTATAAGTGTCAAAGCCAGGCCCCCAACTTCTTGACTCACGCTGTGAGATAACTTTGGGGGAAATGATACAACATCCAGAATCCAGAATATACCGATACATGTCGCCATGCCATGCCATGTCTGTTGGCTGGTGACTAATGCGAGAGATTCAGTTGGCGCGACTTTTGTGAAAAATCGTATAACGGCAGCAGACAAATGTGCGGCAGCGGCATTTCGAAATATGTGGATTGAATCTCTGGCAAGACAAAGAACCAGCTCTGAGCAGCGACAGAGATGATCAATGGAAGTGCTGAAGCAATATGCTTAGATTCGATTAAAGATCAGCCGCATCGCTTCAAGTGATTGATTTGATTTACTGAGAGAATGGCATAGACCGAGTTGCTACTGTCTAGGAATGCCTCAAGCCGCGAACCATAAATATTTCAAATGTCAGAGGATTATCTCTCTCTCTCTCTCTCCCTCTCTCTCTCTGTTTGGCACCAATCCCAAAATCCAACCAAACAACTTGCCTCATTAACCGCCGCCTGTGGGGAGCTGGCAATGAAAATGAGACCTAGCCATAACAATAACCCATCTTGCAGCAGCAGCCGCCATTTGGAGAAGGAAATTCCATTTCCATCTATAGGAAAAACTGTACTGTTGCCCAGCGCGGCTAATAAATGGCCATTCAATGGATGTGGATGTGGATGGGTATTGGGTATGGGTATTGGGTATGGGTCACCCCTATTAAAGGAGAAAGTTTACTTTTGGCTTTGGCTCTGGCGCAAAAAACTAAAATCTCAGCAGAAATAAAAGGCTGCTGCTGCCTGTCGATCGGATGTGCATTCTACTGCAGGGGAGAGGATCCCCAATAAGGCTGGAGACCTCTCTCTCTCTCATTAGTGGCTTGGAAAATGCCTTGTCACGAGTTTCCCCTATTGATGAAGGGGCGGGGACGGGGAATGGGAGAACCCATTGAGGAAAACGCACGTTTTTAATGCAGTCCAATCTGGGCAGCAGCATGCAGCATGCCTCTGGTGCACAGTGTATCTTGCTTATATCTGCATCTGGCAGATACGCGAAACTCTTAATTGCCACACTTTATGCACACACTCCTCCAACTGCGGTCTATCATCTCTAACTAACCCTCTGTTTGTCTCGTCTCTTGCAGCAATCCGCTCATTGCAAAAAGTAAAAGTCACTCGGGCATATCAGCAGCACCAGCAGCAGCAGCACCTCTGCCACCCAGCATTGGCGGCAGCATCGTTGGCCCCCAGTTGCCCCCACTTGGCAGCGGTTTCGTCAAGTTGCGACATGTAGCAGAGGAGCACGAGGAGCAGCAGCCCAGCACATCGTCAGCGTCAGCGAAGGAATCACCAAAGCAATCATCGCAATCAGCGAGCGATAAGCAGCAGACAGCTGAGGAGCAGCAAACAACAGAAGACACATCGAATCCCACTGCTCTGCCCCAGTTTCTGCAAGGCGTGCGTCGCTCATCGACCCAGGTGAGACCCTACCCCCACCCCACCCCACATTGCCATGTCTTGAATCATTCAATCCCTGATCTTTGCCTTCTTTCCTTTATCCAGGTCATGGGGCCCGATCAGCGCACACTTTCGATGGCCAAGACCACCTCCATTGCGGATCGTCTGGCGGCGCTGCAGAAGAGCGGCGAGGATGGCTGGCGGAAACGCATCTCGAAGCGCGACGAAGTCGATGATATACGCCGCGAAAACTTTGTAAACGTGAGTTCATTTCCATTTACACTTTTCATTCCGTTTTGTCTCTGGGTTAAACTTGAATCTGCCGCAGCCGCTGCCACTGGCGCTGCCGCTGCCTCTGGCTCTGCGCATGCGTGCCTCTGTGGAGCGCAACGGATCCGATCTCTCGATCTCGATCTCTTTGGGATACCCATTTCAATTGCGTGAAAAGTGTTTCCTTATTGTTAATCGTTTTGTTTTGCGTTTAACGTTTTGCTGCACATTTGACTCGTGTGTTTTCCTCCCCCCTCCCCCCCTCTCTTCTGTTGTTATTTCTGCAATGCTCCCGTTGCCTTGCTTGTTGTGGCATGATGCCAACAGAGCGTTAAAGCTGACGGCAATGACATAATAATAATAATACGAAAAGTGCAAGTGATATTGAAACAGCGTAACTGGCGGAGGGGTGGTGGAGGGTGTTTTGTGAATGGGGGTGACTTATATACGAGTGCGAGTGCATTTGGAGCAGCCTGAGTCACAGAAAAGATTTATGATATCAAAGATAAGGTGCGCTCGCTCATACTCGGCATTGCGTTGATTCTTTTCGTAAACAATCCTAAGCAGATTCGCGTAGTTCATTGGTGGTAGAGGAGAATGTATCAAAACAACTTTTATCTCAGAAACCGCTCGCTAAACTAAAAACATTACTTACATTAAATTACATTACTTCTGTCGTATATAAAATCGAAAAACGGAAACTTAAACCATGAAAAGGAAATCCAAGAATTAACTTTCACTTAAAAAGGAATTTGGTTGGTGTCTTTTTGAGATCCTAGAGGCGGTGAGCAGCAAAAGCAATAAAGTAATGGCATTTGAATATTGCGCCAACTTTTATGCTTGATTTTTTATCTTACACCCAAAAGTATGCTACGCAATCTGAATCTATTGCTTCCATTTATTGCCGCCGTCCGTAGTGGCGCTATTTGTTTTTGTGCTGCAACAAACAGACGCCAGTGGCGCCAGACAAACAGTTTCATAAACATCCGCCGCAAGCGTCTTTGTTGCCTGTTGCGTCTATTTAAACTTTAAATATTGAAGTTTAAATCGGGGTTCGAATATGTAGAGGGCAAGCCACACCAGAGGAGCTTCAGTAATTTAAAATAATAATGAAATATTTCTTTCATTCGAATGAAAACGAAACTTGCAGTTGTTTGATGTCACTAGCGGCGGCGTTTAGTAAACCTAGTTGTTCCGCCGTTAAATTTCACTGCCCATGTCCAAAAATAACAACTGTCTATTATCTTTTATGGGCATGACCACATATCAGAGCGGCACTTGCACCGCTTGCAAAAATGCCAGAGACATGGATACAGCGACAGATTCCGTTTGGACTGTCAATTAGCTGCCGCCGCCGACGCCGCTGCCAGCTTTGGGCCATAAATGAAGTTTAGTGAACTTTTCCCCAACCCCCCTCTCACTCACTCACGTTCCCCTCACTCTCTCCCTTGGTTGTGCCTGATTAAACGGTTACTTCTGGTCCATAATTATGCGGGTCTTCTGCCTGCTTCCCTGCCCTGCAGACTCCCCCCGAATTGCACAAAGTAATCACATTTAATTACGTCTGGAAACCCCCCCGCCTCCTCCTGCCACATGTGGGGCTTACTCATCATCGGCCTCCTCCGGGGTGGCAGCTGTGGGTTGGGCGTTGCAAGATGAAGAGAGAGAGAGAGAGAGCGAAATGTTGTGAGGAAATCATGTCAAAGCGATCTTCTGACCCACACACCATTCCAAAATATACTCCCCACTCCGCACTCCGCACAACACCCCACTCTGTGGCGAGGCAAATGAGTTTTGAAGTGTTGTTGGCAGCGAATTACATGCCACTTGGAGTGGAGCTTCTTGCTTCTCATTTTGTTGTTTGTTTCGTTACGTTTATGCCGCCTCAAGCCTACAGCAGTACAGTGGGACAAGGTCAATGGGAAGTGACAGAACAGAGCATGGGAAGAAGGCAAATTTACCCCCACCGTTCTACCCTCATTTTCCATGCTGCGGCAAGACATCATTTTGACGTCCATTAGACTACAATTTATTAATAATTAAGATGACTTTCTGCTTCTGTATTCCTCTTTCTGCTCTGCTCTGATGCTCGGAAAAGTCTGCGCATTTCATGCGCTGTTTGGCAGAGATCCCAAAAAGCAGAAATCAAGGTGGCGTATGAGCAATTAGTCGGGCCATCTCGGGCTGACGTTGTGTCCCCAAAGTGTGCGCAAAAAGAGGTCTGGTCTCATATAATTTAGCACAATTTATCAAGCTTGCGATCGGCTGCAGCATGAAAATGCGCATAATAATGAAGGGCAGCGGCGACGGAGAGAGAGAGATCCAAGAGAGAGAGAGAGAGAGAGAGAGGAGTCGCAGTGGAAGCAGCATCCCAGTTAAATATAGACGGGACTCCTCTTCGTGGAGCTGCAGCCCACTCACTGGTGCTTCTCCTCCTGCTGTACTGCTGTCCTGCTGCTGCCAACTTCCATTTTGCCATAATTTTCCCTCAAAACTTGCCTCTTGTGGGCTGTGTGGCAGCAGCAGCAGCAGCATGGTCGGGCGTAGTCGTTGCTGCAACAATTACAAACTGAGCAAAGAGAAGGAGCATGCCATGAAGGTTGTCTTGGGGTTTGTGTTTGGGTTTGGGTTGGGGCTCTGTTTCTAACTAGCAGATTTTGTTTTTGTTGTTGCTGTTGTTACTGGAGGAGCCACGAGCAGAGCTCTCTGGCTGGCTCGGGGTCCAGCATTTGATCTCTGTCTTGATCTTGAACGTGCTCATCTGCCGCCCAGCCTCCTCGCCTCCTCGCCACATGTCCCATGCCTCATGCCTCAGACTGTTGTAAATTGTTTTGTAAATTTGATATACTTGCAATTTTTTGTTTGCCTTTTTGCTCTGCCTGTCCTCTGGTTACTTCATTATTCTTATTGTTGCTGCTGCTTCTGCTGCTGCTGTACTTGTTCATTAGTCCATGCCACATGCCCCGGCAGGGAGCAGGCAACAGCCAGCAGCAGCCAGCGGCCAATGACAACAACAGTAGCCCCAAGTTGTTCCATAAACTTCTAAAATCAACTGCGGCCATATCGTTGTACCCCTCCGTGCCCGTCCCCATCCCCATCACAGGCTGCTTCTCCGTTTCCTTTGCGTGTATCTCTGTATCTGTATCTTTGTGCTGCTTGTATCTACAAGCTGCAAGTATGCGGCTGGCTGCTGCCCGCCGCTGCCTGCCTGCCTGCCTGGCCGCCTGCTTATTGCTGATTATTTTTATTGCCTTCTGTGTGATTCATTTATTTTCTTTGCTGCCCTCCGATTCCGATAAGGTGGCTGTCATGTCGTCTAGTAAAAACTCTTTCATTTCGCTTTTTCTTGTATCTTTGTATCTCTTTTTTTTTTGTCAGCTACTTGTCAGCACTTGTACCTCTTGGCTTATTGAATTTTTAGACAATTACCTCATTGTATTGCTCTGCATGATGGTGATGAACTGAACTTGATTTATTTTTAGTTGGGATTTAATTAAATTCGCGTTAGGCCCTGCATTCGGGCTGTGATTCATCTGAGGAATTTCTGGGCCCAGGCCCAGACCCTTTTTTTTGCTCCAAAAGTTGAGTGCTCCGCAGCTCTCTCTTTCTCTCTCTCTCTCTCTCTCTCTTTGTAGTTGCTCCTCTCTCCTTCCTTTGTTCTCCTCTTGAAGGCCCTGTCCCCACAATGATCTTGTTTATTACGCTTAGTTTAATTTCAAAAGGCCTTTTCCTCCTGCTGCCTTCTCTTTTCCCCCGGCACTTGGGAGAGCAGCAGTCACCGCCTCCACTTCGTCATCAGATCGGTCTCTCTCGTGGGGGCTCTTCCAGAGCCGGCTTTGAGCAAGCTTTTGGAGTCTCTCGCACTGTAACTTACGATCCATTCACAGTCGCGGTTTCGTGGCGATCGGTTCGGCACTCGCGTTAATTTCCTTTCCACTTGATCTTTTTTTTTATTGTTATTATTAGAGCTCTATGCATTTACGAGTATTACTCTGCTGCTGCTGCTCTGCTGATGCCTGCCGTTGCAGCAATTGACATTAAAATTGATAAGCGCGCAAAACTATAAATAGAGTCCCGGTCCTCGTCCCGTCCCCGTCCCGTGCCGCCGCCTCTAGTTTTAAAACCCGCTCTTTCTACCGATCCGATCTCTCAGAGTCGGAGCCTCAGCCTCAGCCTGCCATTCGGGTTGCATAAAAAGTAATGTGAAGTGAATTTCCTGAATTGCATAAACATCAACTGTCAAATGCAGCAGCAGCAGCAGGAAGCTGCTTGCAATATTTATTCATAGTTTTTCTAGCATTCGCTTCGAGGTGAAAAAATGTTCAAAAATTATTACGAAATATGAAAAATCCAAATATATTTTAATACAAAAAGTGTTACAAGGCTGGCTATTCCACTTGTCCACTCGCACGCGCCACCGAGACACCGAGCCACCGAGCCACCGATCCACCTATCCACCTATCCGCGATCCACCCACCCGACTATGGCACCTCCAAGAAAGCAAAAAAGCAACTTTCTCAAAAGTGCGATAGCCAAAAACAAAATCATCAAATGTGACCGCAATCCGCTTGGCCATTACAAATCGTCAAAACAGAAACAGAACCACAGCCAGAACCAAAAACCCACGCAAATTGTTCAAAAATAACTCAATTTGATTTTACTTAGACCGAAAAGTGCTTTAAAATGTAAGGGGGCATCTGTTTTTCCCCCTACAATACATATACATATAATAGATGGGAAACTTATAGAGCATATAGTTGAATAGAATGGAAAATCTTACAGATAAATATATTAGATGGAAAATCTTACAGAAAGATGACACAATTTTCTAAGGTCAAGAATTCTAAGGCAAAGTCAACAATTAGCAATAAATTCCCATAAATCACAAAGGGGCATCAGAGCAGGCATTTGTTCCTATTGCTATTCCTATTGCCATTGCTATTGTTGTAATTGCCATGATTGTTTTCGTTGTGGCTGTTTCTCGTGTTCTATATTTGGTTTATTTACATACGTGAGCTGTTTGCATATGTCGCAGTCATTTCTCTCGGTGGAGCAACAACGCAGCTGATAAAGCCCAGCAAATAAACGGCGATGAGAAATTGTATGTAATGTGGAAAGCCATGCAAATATTATACACTCTATGTAGAACAACACCTTTTCCTTCCCCGTGAAAGATATAGTGAATTTAGTGCATTATTTTCCGATGCTGCAATTTAAACGATTTGGGGAACCTTTTTTCTTTTGGGAGATTTCCAACCAATTTCCATCAATCAACCAAGACAGAGTTCCTTTCCCTTCCTTTTGCGATCATCAAAGAACTTCATTGAAATGAAAGTTGCACATCTTCTGGCTCTCTCACTCTCTCACGACTGCATCTGCTGCCTCCTCTCCACCCGCAGCTGCTTATCAGCGGGCAGCGGAGAGCCCACAACAACAGCAACATGACCCAAGGGACCCGAACGGCCAAACGGAGAGACAGCGAAGAACAGAAGAGAATTCTGCGCAAGTGCAGCCGAGACAGGCCGCAAAGGGTCAGAGCGAGAGGCCAATAACTGAACGAAAGCACAGCATCATAAAGCACAGAGAGAGCTGAAACAGAGAGAACAACAGAAAGAGAGAGAACAACAGAGAGAGAGAGAGAGTGAGCGAGGGCAAGGCGTAAAGAAGACAAGCGACGCGCGCAGCTTTCGTTAAGTTTTGGGCTGCAGTTGGGGGGGCCGTCGCAGCGCCACAGCGTCACCGCATAGTTCAAGACGGGGATCCAAAGAGAACGAACGACCGCGAAGGCGCAACGGAATACAAAAAGCGCGTCCACTAGCAAAGAAAACACAAATAAAAAATAAAAAATAAATAAACGCCGCACAAAAAATTGCAAAATTAATACGAATGCTCGTAAAGCTCTCGGGTCTGCGTGGCGGGAAGCAAGGGGACACTACGACACTCGTATCGGATGTCAGACGGCGATAAAAATACACAAAAATTAAAAACATAAATACGCGTGTTAATGCAATTCGAATGGCAAAGTGCAGCGGACAGCACTTGACGAAAGGTGTGTGCGGCTGAGTGGGCGAGTGGAGTGGGGAGAGCCAGGATATTTAATTCCAGGGGAAAACATTGCAAAATTGAAGAAATTTTGCACAGTTTTCCCCATCCTCTGAAGATTTAAAAAGAATGCCAGAAAAATCAGTAATAAGTAAATTGTATATTGTATATAACCGTTCCCTGTGTAGAGTGAATGTGATGCCATAATACATTAACATTTGCCGCTTATCGAATACAAATATACAAAAAAAAAACTGCACACGATATCAAAAGCACGAAACGAGCGAAAAAGTGAACCAATAAACCAGACCAGTCGAAAGCGAAACTAATTTGTGATAAGAACATCCGACGGATACGATGGACGTGACAACGGACTACATGGTCTACCTGGAGATGGCCTGGGAGTGGGCGGGATGCCTGCCCTACCTGCTGGTCACCTATGTGCTGCTCACTCTGCTGCCCCAGTCCCTGGTGCGGATGAAGCGCTTCGCGGACGCAGACTACGAGGCGAATCGCCACAAGTACCATCGCTGCTACGGGCCCGAGCTGTGCTGCCACGTCCAGGCCCAGGAGGCGGCGGCGGCCACCAAGCAGAAGCAGAAGGCGCGGAAGCCCGTCACACGCGTCTACCCCAAGCGGCAGACGTCCACAGCGGCGAGGGAGGAGCCGGCAGTGCCGGCGCCAGTCAAGCGGAGCAATGTCACCAAAATCGCACGCATGTTCGAGACGGGTGCCACGCGACAGGTGAGCCGGGTATCGCCTGTCCTGCCCGAGATCCGGATGTTTGGGGCCAGCGATGACTCGCACGACTCCACGCCCTGCGCCTCCCGCAAGACGAGCATCGCCACACAGCTCTCCGCGCAGCTGCAGCACATCGAGCAGGCGATGCAACTGTGGCAGGAGCTGGAGGAGGAGCCCTCCAAGAAGTCGTCCCCCTCGCACAGCGACTGGGAGCCGATGACGGTGCCCGTGGTTCGACGCACTCGCGGCACCTCGGCCACGCCCTCGACTGCCTCGCCGCTCAGCAGTTCGCCGGAGCCAGCGTCTCCAGTGCTGCTGCGGCAGCCGCCGTCGCTGTGCCTCAAGTCCAGCATGGAGGACATCTTCCAGGTGATTGCCAGGAGCGCAGAGGAGCCGCACTCCTTCTATGCGGACTGCAACAGCCTCTCGCCCGTCACCAGCATCGACGACATCCTCTCGGAGCGCAGGTTCTCGCGGCCATTGTCCGCCTACTCCATCACGGATCTGCTGAACGAGGAGCTGGCCTCCTGCGTGGAGGAGGCCACCTATGTGAATGACACCCGATGAGGCAGATGGAGATCAGTTCTTAGTGCCATCCAACCTCCCATCCACCCATGGCCCATGAGTCAGAATCGGAATCGAAATCAAAATCGGGTCACCCGGAAGACTTTTGCCCCATCCTAATCGTACCCTCGGTCGCCTTTGTTCCCCGCGATTGCGCTGTGACTCACAAATGGCGGGGAGGGGGGGTCGCCTTGCCACGCCTTCCTATAGTTTCATATAGTTTATGCAGCCCCACCCCCCGCCTGCTGCTTCCATATGCATTTTGTTTGTTTAATCGATAAAAACTTAAACAAAGCAAAGTCAACTGCGGAGCATCAGAGATCAGTCGATTCCCCAGTACTTATTTAGCCGTCAGTTATGTAGATGTATATGTATATGTACATATATGTTAATTTTGTCTCATTTTGTCTCTGGGGTTAAACATAGCATGGCGATGCATCATCTCATATGTATAACTATATCGATCCTATCGCAAATTAAATATGTATTAAATATGTATGAATATGAATTTCTAGTATTATATCTATGATTAAATGTATGCCTTAAACTAAAAGAAAACTGTATAAAATGCAACAAAAATACACGACACAACGAAGCAATAATTGCGAGTATATCAAACAAACAAACAAACAAACAAACAGGCGATTCTCTTTCGTATAAACAGCTGCAGCAGCAGAGAGGAGCAATCGAATGCGACTGCAAAAAGTTGTTTATTTTTATTTATTTCTAGCAAACAGTGCAGTTGCCTGCCTGCACGGTCGCAGCAGCTGCTCGGTTATTTATTTTGCATTTCTGTGGGTACATTTTTTGCATCAAAAGTGGCATCATCGAAGCGTGTCTTCGCGACGTCTAAGCCAGCAATTTGTCAAATAAATTGACGCAAATCAAAATGTTATATGAAGCTTTCATTAATTATAAATTGCCGAAACGTTGGGAAGCTGCGAGAAAGAGGGGCAGAGAGAGGGAGAGATGAGGTAATTCCTTTGCTGTGGCTTTTTATACCCGTACTCAAAAAAGAGTTAAGGGGTATATTAGATTTGTGGTAAAAGTGGATGTGTGTAACGCAGAGAAGGAAACGTTTCCGACCCCATAAAGTATATATATTCTTGATCAGCATCAATAGCCGAGTCGATATAGCCATGTCTGTCTGTCCGTCTGTCCGTCTGTCTGTCTGTCTGTCTGTCTGTCTCGATGAGCGCCTAGATCTCAGAAACTATAGGAGCTAGGGCAACCAAATTTGGTTTCCAGACTCATGTGATATCCCACTGCTACAAGTGTATTTCAGAATTTCGCTCCGCCCCCTTCCGCCCCCACAAAGGACGAAAATCTGTGGCAGGCACAATTTTAAAGATACGATAAAACTAGAAACGCAGTATCGTAGAGAATGCCCATACCTACCAGACTGCCGAATCTGAATCAGATCGGATCATAATTATAGCCAGAATGAAGAAATTAATTTTCTGTTGCTTCCCCTGCCCCCTCCAGTCAACGACCAAACAACTCATTTTCCTTCTCGCTCGCACACTCTGCCGCGTTCAGTGCGCGAGCAACCCCTAGCGGAAAAGATGTAGAATATGAATAGTACATCTATAATCTACATGTTAGATGTAAAATATACATTGTAGATGTAGATGTAGATAACAGATGTAGCAAAAAAATGTAATATGTAAATTTTTTTTTTTAATTCTAAATTCTGAAAATCATATGCTCAAAAATGTAAATACTGACTGAGTACGGGTATAAGTAGAGTCGCGTCTTTAGAAGCGACTCACACGTTCCTTCTCGTTTTGATTGATTTGATGGCAAACCAAAGGCAACGGAGCGCAGATAAATAATAAAGAGAGGCCGAGATACTCCTATCGATGGCATACCCTACGGTGAAAGGTGTGGGGCATTTCAGCGGAGGCCAATGAACTGTGGAACATTGCAACACTTGTTGCAATCATCTGTGGCTTGGCACAGAAACGACAATGGAAAACCACAACAGACAGCGGCGGGCTTATCAATCCAGACTCTGTCTGTGGCACTCGCGAGTGGAATTAGCCACTCCCCAATCAAATTGAATCAAGAACAGCCCTAATGGTTTTGGATGGCTGCGACTGGGTATATTTCCAGTTTAATGTTGAGGCTTTTCTGGCCACACATTCTGCACTTGAACTTGACCAAAAAGCCACCTTAACTTGGCCTATTTGATTCGTATTCGCTATGGCCTTTTCCGCATTGCAAAACAACAAAAGAAACACAACAACAAATGAGCATATTCATATGCTAATTTTAACATTTTCAGTAGTTTCAAATATATATTTGCTGCGCAAGCAACAACAACAATTCAAATGTCACGCAAAAACAGCGTCAGCGTCAGACAGTCAATAAAATATAATAAATTGGCATTTGTTTGATGATATTTGTACCTTTTGGATGAGTGGTTTTTTGGCTAAGGTAGGTTCCCCTTTTGGGGGGCGCTCCTTCACAAAAGAATCTCTTACCTTTTTGGAGGCACCAGCACTCGGATTTGGTTTCCCATGCCAGCCCCAGCCAGCCATCAAAATCCATCGAATATTCGCCGTCGTCGCGCTTTGTTTTCCCTGTTCATTAGCAACTTGGTTTCTGCCTGCTTTTACCCATATTTCGTGTATGTGTTTTATCAATTTATATTGGGTGATTCACGATTGATTCATGGTGGTGTTTGGGGCTAAGAGAGAGAGAGAGAGAGAGGGAGATTGATGGCATGACACACGCTGAAATTCAAGAGAATTCCACTGAAGAGGGCGCACAAAGCTGTCTCTTTGGCAATGAGATGTGCAACAGATAATTATCAATAAAAGTAGTGCACAATTATTTGATAATAGAATTGCATCAAGGGGCTGGAAGGGCCTAGCCAGGGTCGTAGCTGATACTGAAATGGGGTTGAAGTGGGATAAGCATAAACATTCCTAAATATTGCATAATTCAAGATAAAACTTATGCTATTTATTGTACTACCTTTGAGCACGATAAGAAGTGGGTGAACTTCACCCAAAGACACAGATACAGATGCATGAACTTCAGATAAGATACGGGGAATATTTCGGGGGCTTCCATATCATATAACTTATGCTCAAACACGATGCGATGCGATGTGTAAACACATCCATTTACGAGTTGGTTCTCTTCCGTATTGACAGCTTGTGAATTTATTTGCTTTGAACGAATGCAAAAGCAAACCCAGCCAAACCAAAGCAAGTGCTGGGAGGGGTCGGTACATAGCTCCAAAAGCCCCCTTATCTAATCGTACGCTCTCTCACTTGTGACTCGCTCTCTCTCTCCCCGCGCTTCGGGTGTGCGCTCCAGCCAGGTGCGCAATTAGCCAAGCGCCAAGCGCGTTAACCAGTCGCCAAATTGGCATTGTGTTGGGTGCAAGCCCCCCAGATACATTTGCGCATCCATTCTGTGGATCTGTGAGCTGTGTGCGTCGTAGTCAGTTTGATTTGTCATCACGGGCTCTGGTCTCTAATGGAGCGTACTTAACGTTAAAGCGTTTGAGGCTTGAGGTTTGAGGTGTGTCCCGCCCATCCAGCAGCTGTATTGAATAGTAAAAGTTGAATAAACAAACAAATAAACAATTAGGTATAGTGGTGGAATAGGCTGCAAATGGAAAAAGTTAAACTGGTAAGAGCTTTTCCCTAAATGTCTCTCTCTCTCTCTTTCTCTCGAAAACAGTAAACGGAAAACAGAAGCCAGAAGCAAGTGATGATTGTGTGTGAGTCACCGCAAAGTGTGGGGTAACCCGGTTATACCGATAAGGCCACCTCGAACGCGACTGTTGGCCATATTTATGGGCCCATTATACATATTTTTATTTGGCTAATTTCTTTATAAATGCGCCAATGCGCAATTCAAATTCGAAATTCAAAAATTTGGGGCTTAGAGCGTGGGCTAACGTTTTGAAAGTGAATGTAATCACGAATGAATCGAATACTCTACTCTGTATTGCAGGAGTCGCTCTCTCTGGCCCACTCGCTGTCGGACAAGCCGCTGCCACCCTCGCCACTGATACCCAACAGCCTCGAGGGCGGCAAGGTCTCCGATCGCTTGGGCAAACTCAAATCCAACTCGGAGAACTGGAAGCAGCGCATAGGTAAGCCGGAATTAATATGAATCTCTGTGAGGGTTCTCCACTCTCACACTCTGTTTTCTTTTGGCAGAACAAACCGATGCCAAGAAGTTCACAGTCGCTGGACGACTGCAGAAGAAGGCCCAGTCCCCCGTGGAGCTGCAGTTCGAGCGCTCTACCAACGATGCGGCCAAAAAGTGCCCCATGCTGGAGGTGCGCAGTGCCAATCAGCCGCAACTGGGCCTGGCCAAGAGCCCCTCCATGATGGTGACCAGCAGCAGCGCTAACCCCAAGACTACGCTGCGCAGCCTCAGCGTCAATCCCGAGGAGGAGATCTCCACCTTGAGCCGCTCGAACAGCAGCAGCTCCGACTCGGATGGGGAGCGCAGCTCGCCGCAGAATGCCAAGCAGAACAAGGAGCTGGCCAACAACAAGAGTGCGGCGGCGCCCACAAATGTGGGCGCGAGGATACAGGTGCCCCGGCTGGACGACAAGGAGACCTTCGAGAACTTCTTTGCCACGCAGCCCACAGCCACAGCCTCACAGCAGCAGGAGAGCGCACAGGTGGAGATCAGTGCCTTCGATGACATAAAGCCGACAGAGCGGTAAGTTCCTTAGAAGAACAGTCTCCCATGCCATTCAGAATCTAAACTGCGATTTCCCCTTTCTTTAGTTTGGTGAGCAAACGGCATGTGCAGGGACCCAAGGGCCGTCGTGCTGCCCGCAATCCCCTCAAGAGCCTGGCGGCACGCAGCGACATCACATCGGAGTACACGGAACTGCGCACAGGAGTGGCCGAGCGGGAGATGCGGCGTCTCAAGCTGGAGTCATGTAAGTGCCAGTCACACGCTAATCAATTCCCTGCTAATCCTCTTCCCCGCTCCGTTTTCGACAGTTGGACAGCATGGAAATGGAAATCTGGCTGCCGAAGCCATTGCCGGACTGGCCTCCATAGAGGACTTCAAGGCGGTGGCCTTGCGGTCATCCTCGCTGCCACTGCAGCAGATGTGGCTGCCCCACAAGCCGGTGATGCTGCTGCACGTTAAGGGGCGCACCCATGTCCAGACCCGTCTGGTGGCGCCCATCCACACGTCGCTGAATCGCGGCGACTGCTTCATTCTAGTCTCGGGCTCCCAGCTCTATCGCTATGTGGGCTCCTTTGCGAACGTCATTGAGATCTCGCGCAGCAAGAAGATCTGCGCCGCCATCGTGGAGAACAAGGATCTGGGCTGCACGGCCAGCCAGGAGGTGATCCTCTCGGATGGCAAGTTCGTGAACGAGCGCCAGTGGCGCCAGTTCTGGAAGCTGCTCGGCAAGCCAGAGGAGGAGCCGTACGAGATTCCCGAATGCGGCCATGCGGACGAGGACGATGTGTTCGAGAGCAGTCTGATCGAGACAAACAAGATCTACGAGTTCCAGGACGACGCCCTCATCCCCCTGGACAAGTACTGGGGCTGCATCCCCAAGGTGGACATGCTGGACACCCGCAAGGTGCTCGTCTTTGACTTTGGCAGCGAGCTGTACGTGTGGAATGGCAAGAACGCCTCGTCGGATGCTAAGAGGGCAGCCATGCGACTGGCCCAGGAGCACTTTGTGGCCAAGGACTCGGCCGACTATGCCCAGTGCTACCTGAATCCCCTCAACTACGTCGCCATTGTGGGTCGCCGGGAGAGCACCACGTACGCCAAGCGATGCGCCGAACGGCCGGACTGGTGCGTGCTCGGCAAGATTACGCAGAACATGGAGACGGCGCTGTTCAAGGAGAAGTTCAGCGACTGGCCGGAGCTGGAGCGGGAGGATCTGGAGAAGGACTACCTGGCGAACGGCGTCCATGTGGTGCGCGCCCTCAATGGCGCGGCCCTGCACAAGGGTGAGCCCTACCAGGAGCCCAATCTGGTGCTGGAGCAGTCGAACCTCGGACGCGGCAACTTCTACTACGACAACGACACGATGCGGCACTTCGATGTCATCACCAAGTCCACCGACAAGTGGCAGATACACGAGTTCAACTTCGATGCGGCCAATGCGCGCGAGGATTACGGCCACTTCTACTCCGCCGAGAGCTACATTGTGCGCTGGATCTACCAGATATCGGTGACCGTGCGAGAGCTGAGCGGAAAGGTGTCCAACCGGAGCACCGTCGGTCGCGATCGTTGCGTCTACTTCACGTGGCAGGGACAGGACTCGAGTGCCAATGAGAAGGGTGCCGCCGCTCTCTTGACTGTGGAACTGGACAAGGAGAAGGGCTCCCAGCTGCTGGTGGCCCAGGGAGACGAGGGCACGGCCTTCGTGCGTCTGTTCCGCCAGCTGTGGCAGCACCGCGGACGCAAGGAGCAGTGCCTGGAGAAGCGCAACCAGTGGCGACTCTACCAGCTGCAGGGCAATGTACCCGAGGAGACGCTGCTGAAGGAAGTGGCCTGCCAGTCGCAACAGCTGCGATCCCGCAGCTCCATGCTCATGATCCACGGCAGCCAGGGTCTCGTAATCGTCTGGCATGGCGCGAAGAGCGCCCCACACTCGCGGAGTGTGGCCCTGGAGGCTGCCCAGGAGGTAGTCAAGCAACTGCCCAAGGATCTCTTCAGTTGTGAGAGTGCGGCCACGGCCATCCTCACCGAGGTAGCGGAGGGAGCCGAGAGCGAGGACTGCAAGAAGGCCTTGGGATTGGGAGAGCAGCGCGCGGACTATGGCAGCCTGCTGGAGGCCACCAAATCCTACGACTACCAGCTGAGGATCTTCAACTTCTCCAGCACCCAGGGAGTGTTCAAGGCCTTGGAGCTGAGCGATCCTCTGCGGTGCCAGGATATGCACAGTCCGTACCCGTTTAGCCAGGCCCAACTCTACAACGCCCGACAGCCGACCATCTTCCTGCTGGATGATGGCGACGAGCTGTGGCTCTGGATGGGATGGTGGCCCCTTGAGGATGTGAAGAGTAAGTTCTCCATCGTTCTTGTAGTCTGGGCAATGCATTAATTGGGCATTTTGTTTGCAGTTAATACGGATGAGAGAAGCAGCCCCACCAATGACAATCGGGCTGGTGTTAATCGCTGGATCTCAGAGAGACGCGCTGCCCTCGAGACGGCCGTCGACTATTGGCGTGCCAAGCACGGCGAGAACGTGAAGGAAGCCTTCCATGGCGTCAAAGGTCAGGTGGTCTGGGCCGGCCTAGAGCCGTTGGCATTCAGGGCCCTCTTTCCGGAATGGAATGAGCGTGCCGATGTCAGGGAAATCAACGTAGAGGTGAGTCGGCTGAAGCGAAACCTCCGATGGCAATTGTTAACTCATATTTGTGATTCCCTAGGATGGCCGTTCGGATGATATCGTCGAAATCAGCACAATGCTGGCACAAATGACACAGACAGAGTATCCGTTGGAGGTGCTCAAGGGGCGACCACTGCCCGAGGGCGTGGAGCCGACGCGACTGGAGGTCTACTTGAATGCCGAGGACTTCCAGGTGGCCCTCGGCTGTAGCCGGGCGGAGTTCGAGCAGCTGCCCATCTGGAAGCAGACCAAGCTGAAGAAGGAGCGGGGCCTGTTCTAGGAGAGAGGCACAATGCAACCATATAGACTTGAACACAATCACAAACCACAAACACACACACACACACACACACTTTTCTAAGCACACTTTTTGTATGCGGCGATGCTTTTGCAACGGGCACAGACATAGCTTACTATATACCATAGTATATATACATATATCTATACAAGTATCATATACACACGTGCGCATATCCCTCTATGTACTCTCTATTTTACACACACCACATACGATACATACATATACATATATTCGATATATAAACTTTTATATGTATGTACATATATATAGGCAAGCAGGCGACACTGCACGACTATTATGCAAGTGCACGATGCCAGGCAATAAATAACTTCAAATCGCTTCATTCGACAACCAACTCAACTCAACGCATCTGTTCAGAGTCCATCGATTTTACCTGTACATAATATTAAGTTGATTTGTTTTAAAATTATTTTATTTTACTGTATTATTATTATTTGAACGATTTAACGAAATTGCATTTGTTCAATCTCCGCAAACACACACCAAAAAGAAAAAAAGCAACGAGCTCTCGTTATTTCATTGTTTAAATTTCGAAATCATTTTAGTGCTAGCTTTATTCTCCTAATTTAATATCTATGGCCTATGTATTTGTGTTTTTATTATGTTAAAAACGATTACGTACATTTAATTATTATTTTTTTATTAAATAACACTTAAATATTTTAATTTCCTGCATTGTTTGATTGATTTATTTTGCTTGGGCACAAGAAGCGACTATATCGTTGATCCTTGAAAAGGACGCTATCAAGGATGGAAATCGAATACACAAACAGCGAAAAATTTTAATATTTTTGACTGGGGAAAATATCCTTCATCCTTGATAAGGACTTTACGAAAGCAGGCACAATGTTCCGATGACAGCCAGCCATCACACGCCGAGAAATCTGAATATAGATGACTGGGGAAAATATCCTTGATCCTTGATAAGGACTCCATCGGGGATGTTGGCATGGCGAATAGCAGAGAAAATTTAATATTTGGATCCTTGATATCCTTCGTCCTTGGCAAGGACTCCATAAAATCAAGGATGTTCTCCCGATTGCGAGAAGGTGCGGCACGCCCAGATCGGATGAGGAATATCGGAGCTTTGGCGACTAAAAGGCAATATCCTTAATGTCCTTCATACGGTCGGGGACATCCTGCCGATCACAAAAAGGTATAGCACGGCCAGATCGGAAGAGAAATGGCTAAGAAAGTAGGTATGAAAGTAGGTATAAGTAGGTATGAAAATATCCTTGATCCTTGATAGGGCCCATAACATCAAGGACATTGCTCCGATCAGAGGAAGCCGTCGCACGTTCCGATCGGCCCACAAGGAGTGAAGATAACAACAAAACAAAACACGCGGCCTTGTTGTTGTCGATTGTTGTACAACAAAAATAAAGTTGTTGTACAACAAAAATAAAATTGTTGTACAACAAAAACAAAGTTGTTGTACAACAAAAATAAAATTGTTGTACAACAAAAACAAAGTTGTTGTACAACAAAAATAAAATTGTTGTACAACATAAGTTGTTTTTGTAATTGTTGTACAACAACCACCCTCAAGTTTTTACGACCAGCCTGAAAGTATTCTATACATTTTTACCAAAAAACCAACCCCAAAAGTATGCCGTGGTTTTTAAACGCCATCTTGTGATGGGGAAAAATCTCCCTTTAAAGAAAATGACAAACCAGGATAGAGTTTGTTTTAGATCTATGTATTCATTTATAATTTAGCTTAAACTATTTTCTATGCTTATACTGTACATTTTGGGACAATCCGTGAAATGTCTGCGTCTTAAATGCAAGTTGTAGTGAATTAACTATTGTTAAATTTAAATTCCAACGCAATCCCCTCGTTCGATGCCTAAGACTGTCCGTGGATATCGCGGACCAGTCGAGCGACGAGCTCACAGCACGCCTTTTGCCTGTTCTTGGCGACGGACATGACCTCTTCGTGGGTAGCCTCCTCGTCCTTCTTGTCACTGTACTCGGTGGAGCACTTGTTGGTGATCAGGCTGAAGGCGAACACCTTCATGTCGCAGTGACGGGCTGTGATGACCTCGTGCACCGTCGACATGCCCACAGCGTCGACGCCCATCATGCGGAGCGCCTTCAGCTCGGCAATGGTCTCGTAGGTGGGTCCGCCCAGGCAGGAGTACACGCCCACATGCATGTTCGACTCGATTCCCATGGACTTGCCGATCTCGATGGCCTTGTTGATCAGGTCCTTGTTGTACGAATTGACCAGGGCTGGGAAGCGTGGCCCGAAGCGAGGATCGTTGGGTCCCTGCAGCGGCGAGTTGCCGGCAAAGCCCAGCATGTTGACGTGGTCGTGCATCAGCATGATGTCGCCCACCGCGTACTTGGGATTGATGCCACCAGCCGCATTCGTGGCGAACAGATACTCCACTCCGCACAGCTTCATCACGCGCACCGGCATGGAGCACTTGGCCAGGGGATAGCCCTCGTAGAAGTGGAATCGTCCCTGCATGGCCATCACGATGGCGCCCTCCAGAGTGCCGACGACCAGTTTGCCGGCATGACCCTCCACCGTCGACACCGGGAAGTTGGGGATCTTCTCGTACTCAAAGATCTTGGCATCCTGAATGATGTCGGCCAGCGAGCCGAGTCCCGAGCCACAAATGATGCCGATCTTGGGTCGCATGCCAGCGCCCTTCACAATGAAGTCGGCGATTTCCTGGATAACCTCATATGGATACCTGCCAAGAGTCGGATGTGTGGATTAGTTAATGTCTAGTGAACGGAGTTAGAATCACAATTAAGAGGTTAAAGTGGAGAGTGGACAGAAATGAATGAGTACATGGTAGACAGAGAGAGAGAGGCAAGGCAGCTCATCTGCTCGCCTCGACAATAGAAAATGGACTGGGGAAAGATAGAAGTATGTATCTTCTTCTCTCTCCCAGAGTACAGATGAATCGAATTATTATCGGAACAGATATTAATTATGCGAAACATTGACATTCAATCAGTTTGATGATGCGAGAACACAACAAAGACTCGAAATGTGGAACCGGAGACGGCACAATGAATACTTTAGGTAGAGAATTTGGACTACAAACGTGTCTTCGTTGAGCACCCGCAATGCCCTCAGCTCTTCGGGCGTAAGGGAGCATTGGATTTTTCCATTATTGCTGCAATTTTGAAGAAGAGAACGATGAATTTGCATTGTTTTGTTAAGATGCCAAAAGTTTAATAATACTTATACATTATGAAGTATGAAGCTGAAAACGAATGTCCACAAATTGGTAAGATAAGAATGAAACCTCCGCTACCCCCCCAGGTGAAGCTTATCAATATTCCTGCAGGTGTTTTTCCTGAGCAATTATAAGATTGTGACGAATATTTATCTTAATTGCCGAGAATTTGTAGATTAATTATCGGGTGAGCTGGCGCTGGTACCCACAATTATTTTTGATTGCTGCGTTCATTAACTGGGTTTTCTCGAGGTTAAGCGCGTCCGAACTTGAGCTAAATATGTGTGATGATGGTGGGATTCCGGTAAAGATGTTCCTGCCGAAACTGAACCCTTAACCCCCCACGTGCTGTCATCTCCCCTCGTTTCATCATACATCACTTGTTTTCCCCACTGATAAGCCGCAGATGATGATGCCATTATCAATATTTAACAAATTTAAGTGCGTCATTAAAATGACAAAAACAGGCAACGCAACGCAACGCACGGCACCGCACCGCACGGAACAGAAGTTTGCATAAATTGAACACTAATTAAACGTTCGGTATAATACGAATATAATCCAGATATTCGTTAATAAAATTGATTTTATGGAAATTTGACCAGAACACGCGACTTGCGGATAGTTTGGAAAACTTTTCGCCGCTTCATCCATATTCAGCGGTCGAGTGTTTCGAAACAAGTTTCAAAATTAATCAATAAACATGTTCGGGGGCCTGGAGGTGAAAGTCCCCCTCATAATCGAACAATTTGCCAATTGCAGGTATCTGTTGCCTTGGAACTACCAAAGATTATGGCCAGACGCGGGCCTATGTCAAGTTCAGGGAACACGCCCGCTTTTGGCAGCCAATCAGCGAGAGCCGTTTCAATTGTTAACTGGGCCAGCAAACAGCTTGCATAAGCAGTCGGCAAGCGCTATCGTTTATCTGTAAGTGGCACTTGTCGTGTTGTTGGAAAGGGGAATAGGAATGGTCTGGCCTGGCCTGGACAGCCAGCCCATCGATAGACAAGACCACACCGTTTTGGTCGGCGGTGTTGTCGCCGGTGCCCTAATCATATGCAGATTGAAGATGTTTCGAATGAGGTTTTAATTACTTGCTCCCCAACCAGCAAGTCACGCTGATAAGCCCGCACCAGGGACCCGGCTACTGGCATACTGGAATGTCTTAATTTATAATCAAAAACAAAAAAACCAAAAAAAAAAAACCAAAAACCAGCGCGATCTGGCCTGAGCTAATTTCTTGATATCAGCGGCAAGATCAAGGACAGTGCCATCCCATATCGCAGCATTTGCATGTGATTTGCTAAACTTAAACTAAACTTTCGACGCTATGAAGATCGGACTTACAGCTGGCTCTCCGGCGTGGGTACAACGCTAATTATTTTTTTGGGCAACAGTGCATCGGTCTTATCACCGGCCTTCCCCTTTGGATTCGAACAGCAATCGTTGGAGCACATTTTAGGAGTGAAATTAACCGAAATGTAATTTTGTTTCTGGACTACAACTGAATGTGTTAAGTGTATGCCAAGGCCCACTAGACTGTGTCGGGGGAAAGGTCCTTTTGCGACCCAAGATTGGTTTTGGGGGGCGTGCAGATTTGTAGCTAACTTACAGCAGACTCTGCGGCGTGGGTATCACCTTCTCGGTATCGCTGAGGCCCTTGGTCTTCTTATCCGTGCACGTATTGCCACCTTTTTGGGAGCCACCCGGTCCCCCGCAACAGTCGCGCGAACACATTCTGCTTGTTGGTACTTGTGCTACAGCAAATGCCAGAAGAGTGGAGCCCAGCGAATTTTGGGGAGAATTGTTTCGAATTTTGTGAGATATTCCAGGCCGAAACGTGTGCTTGAGGCAACTAATATTTAGGAACAACGGAAACATAAAACCAGGCGAAACGAATAGCATGGCCTACTCTCGCAAACAGGGGCTAACTGCAAACCCAAGGGAATATCGATTCGGCCCATGAAAGCGGGTCACAGACAGGGTCAAAGCACAGGGAAGGTGGACACCTGCAAAGTTGGTTTCAAACCTCAAAAGAAGGAGCACGTTACAGAAGAAGAAGGACTTGTGTGGCAAGCAAGTGGTCTGGTCTGTGTGGTGGCACCAGAGCGTATTAAGCGCTCGCTACGCAATGTGCCGACAATTATTGGAACTTTCAATTATAGTTGATTGAACTTAACGAGTTGGTGGCGTGAGTGATGGCTCACGAACCATCTTTCGCTCCTCTGGACTCCAGAGGAATGCCGTCTGCGAGCACTTACGTTTGGTTCTCCTGCGCCAAGTCGTCGGCCGGCCTGTCGCTGGTGCCGTTGCCGTTGCCATTGCTGTGTCCGTTCCTATGATTGCCATTGCTGGTGGCCACATCGCCTTTGGAATTGTAGCCCGTCATTGTGTGTGGATGTGAAGGCTCTTGTGTCTGTGCTGCAATTATATAAGTCTGCCTGTCCGCCTGTTGACCTTCTGTCCGCTCTGCTGCTTGCTGCTGCTCCGGTTGCTGTTGCTTCTACTGGTTATGTAAATATTTCGCGTTGCAAATTAATTTCAAATCGGACTGCGCGGGTTTCTTATGATTTTTGATTTGCTCTCGAAAATAACAAATTCCAAACTAATTTAAAAATCAGGAACTGGAATCTCTTTTGTACTCTCGTTACGATCCACAGAGCTGAGTATTTAATGGGTTTTTTTTTTGCGCGGCCCGAATCGGCTATCTCTATTATCGGCTAGTGTTGACTGCTCGAGCGATGTTACTTGAATGAACGGTTCAACCGCCTGGAAGTTTGTCTTATAAACGAACCGAACCAAACCGAACCGAAGCGAAGCGAGTGAGTGGTGTCGCTGCTGTCAACGTCTCTGCCTGCACATCCTCTATAGGAAAGAATCTGTTGGGATCGCTTGAGCTGCTGCTGCTGCTGCGCTGTCGCTGTTGCTGCTTGATTGTTCAGCATTCAATTTATATATACGAGTATGTAGGTACTATTATATTGTATTGCCGGAATTGTGGCTTTGCTTTTGCTTTTGACTACATCAATTGAATTGAGCGAATTTAAATATTTCATCAAAATACATACGTCAGGCATACGAAGCCAAGAAGGAATAACACTTTTAGTGTTTATTGTTTGATTAGGTGTTTGTTTACTGATGTGTTCGGTTCCGCAACAGCCACACACACACATGCACACAGGAACGATAAGAATATGAGCTGTTCTGTTTGCTATGGACTCATCGATATCGCCGTGGGTTTGTGCAATCAATGGTAAAGTCATTTATGACTTAATCGGCAGTGAATGCATTTCTCCACGACCAAGAAAGAGGGAATGCACACCATTAAGTGAGACCTGAAACTGAAAGAAAGTTATATTAATCATTGCAACTTAAATCAAATCCAACAGAAATCTTTTGTCCACTCAAACGCAAAGCCAAGCCCCAATTCACTTGGAACTTTTGATCTTCAAACATAATAATCATCAGAAAGTAATGAGGCTATTTTTAAACATAATATTCGAAACATGCCACTGGCCGAGAGCTATGTATACATTTTTATTTGCCTGCTTAACCTTTCGCAATGCTTATCATTTAGTCAGGCGGAAAGTTTTCCTTGATCGTCAGTTTCTAGGGCTGCCCGCCAGACAACCCCAGACATGCTGTAATACAGAATGCATGTTTAATCACCCAGCAACAGCAGGCAACCCTATCATCAGCACAGATAAGAAATCAATTACAGGAAACTACAGCCCTCGAGGCACCTCACCAGTGACTGTTGCCAATGGTTGGTTCTTTTTCCTACACGAATGTTGCCAAAACCCATTCGATTTCTCCTTCCCATTAATAGTTTCTTCCAGCATCAGTGATAAGAAAGACGCACAATTGTCTTATCGCTTCGTGGGGGGTACGCGTGTTGTTGTGATCTGAGCCACAGTGCCAGTGACCCCAGGCATTGCCTTACACCGACACCGACAGCGACAGCGACAGCTCTTAATTCAGTAAACAACTTTATGGGTTTTACGAGTGTAGAAATCGCGCGCGGAATGCAATCATTATCAGATTGATAATGCAAAATAACGCTCGTATTTTGACTGGACAGGCCGACCAGCAGACGTTTACATAAGCCCCTGACTAGCCTAACGTCTCGAATGGGTCTCAGCAAACTCACTCTCTATCTTGCTATGCCCCAAACAGACCCTACACACACTTCCAATCTAAGTTGTTCCAAAACAAACAAACTCTTCGGTTGTCAAGTCTTGTTATTGAAAATATATATTCTATTTTTGATGAATTTTGCTTACGTCAAAAGTATAAAATTTAATCGCTTTATAGATTATTTTATAAATAACAAAAATGCTGACGAATACTCTTTCTTTTGAAGAAATATTTGAGTACCCCTATTGAGTTTCCCGCGTTCTAAAACAACACACAATTTGGGAGACACATCAACATTGACCTCTGCACAAGACGATGCAGATGCAGGCCACCAAAGAGATGTGATGTGGAAAATTCCATGATGATAAGAAAACCCAAAACTCCAATGGAAATATGTTCCATTCATGTTTCTGTGGAATATTCCAAGAGGTAGTGGCTCGTGTGTGAATGTGTTGGTGGCATGTTGCGCTGCAGCTATAGGAAAACAGGAAATCTCAAAGATATTGACCTGCGCACACAGCAAACACCAAAGTGGGAATCTTTCTCTGGTTAGGCGGCATCATTGAACAACGTCTGCGGTGCACACAAACCGACCACTCGACTCCACTCCACTATGTGTGCCTATTGCTGTGCAACGCAGACAGATGGCAGATTAAATATAGAGTAAACAACTATTTCAAGTCATATTTAGATTTATTTTGGAGTATATTTATTAGCACTGTTTTTTGTGATGTATTATATTCCGTATTCCATGATTTGTAAGATTTTTTTTTTGTCTGCGAATTCCATTTCGATTCGCCTCACTTTCGCTAATTGCAATTTTTTCTTGAATAATAATTTCCTAGTCGCGGCAATTGCAATGCTGTTGAGTGAAAAGCTGTTTCGAAATGAACTTTTACAATAATTGGCAATATAATTAGATGAATTAGAACGGTTTGCTGATTTCTGATAACATATAGAATTTAATATTATACGGCAACACATACTAGTCTCAGGCACACAAAATATATATATTCTAACTCAACAGTAAGGAACAAAATGAAACTCAAGAATCCAAAAAGGGACCAAATCAAAGAAATGTTTAACCACTGATATTTTAGTTGGAAAAATAAGTTCTTCTGAAACAGGTTGAAGGATATAGAAACACCATCGACAGACTCCCCCCAATGGATCAAACCGCACCCCATCCTATAGATCGAGGCCACACAACCCAAACAACTTTGCTTGCTAAAATGTTTACCAACGGAAGAGACAAATAAAAATATTTAGAAAATGTTTCGAAATCTACAAGCAAAACTGAATAAATGTTGAATATCTAATGGGTAATCTAATTTTCTTGAATAAGGCATTTGCGGGGCATTTAAATGTTTCAACGTATTCGTGACAAAGAACGAAGAGGACAACGGGGGACGAGGCCCGGGAATGGTGATCGATGGGTCATCGGGCGCACAGGACCCCATACATTTATCTGGTTGTTGTTTCTTTTGATTTGGCAATGGTCCTCCTCTGTTCGGCAATTCTGGTTTCTGGGACGGTTTTTCGCAATGAAAAAGGCACGACTGTGTTCTGTAGGTGTTATTTTACATTTCGTTTGTGTTATATGCGACTGTCTGCCCCTACTCTTTGAGAATTTCGAGGCATCAGCTAAAAATTACTCTTTTTTCTATAATTTTAATTGTTTAAACTTTACGAATTTTCAACTGGTTTGATTATTATATATTTTGGTTTTGTTTTTATGGTGTAAAAAACTCTTACAAACAATTACCCAAAAATAAACTTAAACTGAAAAACATTCTCGAAAAAATAACAATATATCTTTGTATCTTTTTTTTGTTTTTGGTTTTAATACGTTTGGCGGCTTGGCACGCGTGTGTCGCCGTGAACCGGTTGGTTCGCATGGTTTCCCGTAATTTGCGGAAGTGCTGACAGCAAGCACGACGTGCCGCGCCTTCAATTTGAATTTAAAATTGATTTCATTTCATAATTCTTTATTTAGGATTTTCTTTGTATTATTATTTTGTTGTAAGTTAATAACGGTTTAGGTTTTTCTTTGGTGGCACTGGTTAGAGGCGAGCTTTTCAAAAGCTATATTAAGGACTTGCGACGAGACGAGTGAATGCACATGCGGTGAATATGCGCTGCCGGCCATGGGCTTCCAAGGGGCGCCACCACGAAGGCGGCACCCACCTGGCCCCGGCCGGGGTCTTAAAAGTCAAAAAGAGAGACAGAGTGATAGAGAGAGAGAGAGAGAGATGGAAAGAGAGTATTCGTACTATATACGTATGTCGATAAGTATTATATATTCTAATTGTGTAATCAAAAAACAAGGACTAGTTGCTAAATTTTGGTTTCTCCTCGATAAAATCAAAGTTGTATGGTTGTGGGGTGGCCATCGAACGGGGGCTGGAGCTAACCGTAGAGGGAGTGGAAGTTGTGGAAAATGTAGGCAATCGGTTTACCTTCATATGTATCTAGATTTATTGCAACATTTCAAAATTAAAAGGTAAATAAAACTACGTACACAACACAATTACACAAAATGTTAAATACAAATACTAAAATATAATCGATAAATATTTATACAAATTATTAAAAAAAAAAAAAACAAACAGAAAACAAATAGGTACAGTCACGCACTCACACCAAACATAGGTACTACTAGGCTAACGAATAGATATCGCTCTTGTTTTGAAACTGTCTGCTGTTGTCGTTCTTTCTTTTTGGCTGTTTAACAAACATTTTGGGGTGGACATTTTGCATTGATTTGGCTGCTAAAACCGCACAGAAAGTAGCTACTCGCTACAGACTCTCTTTCGGTATAACAGTTTTGTAGCTGTGGCTGTAGCTGTTATACTTGACGAAGAGTCCTTCAGTGGCTGGCCCACTTCCTGTACAGCAAAACATACACATTTTTGATAGCTTCTTCTCTACTTAAGTACTTAAATGACTTCCAGGCATAGCATACAGTAAAATACTTTAGCATTAATTTTAGGGTGTGGATATACATATATATAGATATAGTTGCACACACATACACATAGTACATAAATCCATAGATGTCTTGACCAATACAATATGCACATACACATACACATAGATGGTATGCATACATACATATATATCTAATATTATCGAAGAATTAGATGAACAAAAAGAGGGAGGAGACACACTTTTAACTTAAATGACATTACAATAGTAGGTAGGTATTATTATATGTATGTATATTTTATCAGAGCTATAATTAATTATATATCATTAATCATTATCGTACTTTTATTTGAAGCTGGCTGTTGTGCCACGTTTCGTTTCAAGTCTGTTCAGCGAATTCCTTATCTCTTGTTTGCATTTCGTTTTTGCATTCAATTCAAAAATTATTCATTTTTTTGGTTTTTGGTTGGCTTTTAAAAAACGAATTACTTTTGTTTTTTGTTTTGTTGTTTTGTTTTTTGTATGTAAATTAATCATAAAAATCAGTCAGTCCAACGCCATTTTGTTTAGTTAGTGTTACTTAGCTTCTTCTTTTGGTTGTGATTTCTTGGTTGTCTGAAGGATGTTCGAGTGCATTTTATCTGGTGGTTTGGTGGTTTGGACCCTTTGGGAAATGGGTTGCCTTGCCTGCCTGTTCTGCTACTCTCCTATCGCTCCTGACACGCCACCAGGCTGCCTTCCTTTTTCATATACGTTTCTTTTAGAATAAATTACGACTAAATTCCATTAGGTTTCGATAGGTTTAAAATGTAATACATATGTATAATAGATGTATTGTATATGTATGTGTGTTGTACAAATAAATTATATTATCGTATCGTATATATAACTGTTGGATATATACGCGTGTATTGTGTGTGTGTGTGTTGTGTGTTTGTATGTGTTGTGTGTGTATGCATAGAATACATACATACATACATATATACTGCGTATGCTTTTGGTTTTTGGCTACTTTTTTGATGCTTATTCAACTAGAGAATTCAACTACTACTTCTTTTTGGCCAGCTTCTTCTCGGCCTTGCGAATGGCCTTCTCGCGCTCGCGACGCTCTCGCTCCATGTCCTTGCGCTCCTTCTCGATGTTCGCCTTCAGATCCTTCAAGCGCTTCTTCAGCCTGTGCTTGTCATCGCCGCACACACCCAGCGTCTTGAAGTCCTTCGAGTCGAGGGTGAGCAGTGCTCCGCCCTCCACATTGTGCTCCTTAAAGACGGGTATATACCGCTCTAGCTCGATGCCCATCAGCCAGTGCCCCACCTGAAAGAGAAGACCAAGGATTAGCTCGTGTAAAGCATTGGTTTTTCATCTGAGTCTGAGTCTTACCTGATCTTTGGTCCATTCGTGAACCGGTCCACCCTTGTAATTGTATCCAGCGGCTGCCACTTTGCGATCAGAGAAACTGGAACTGGAACCAGACAGATCCAGGGTGCGGCTGGGGGAATAACCAGGCGAGGAGCAGCCCGATGACATGCTGGTGGGCGAGGGAGGTCCAGTGGCATGTGCCGATTGCGGGAGCTGCTGCAGTGACTGCTGATGTTGCAGCTGCTGCTGCTGCTGTTGCTGCTGCTGTTGCTGTTGGTGGTGCTGCTGTTGCCAGGGCACTGTGCCGGGCGGGGAGAGTGATTGTGGAACAACTTGTTTAACTTTAAATGGAGTTTACAGTGGAGTCGGGGTTAGAGATAGAAAGATAGAGAAAAGTCTGTGTTAGTAAATCGCAGCACCCCAAAAATTATTGTTATGTTATCTAGAGGATGCTTCGCAGAGCAAATGAATGCGATGGTTAGGCACACGAACATTCAAAAGATATATATATATATATAGAGTGAGAGAGAGAGAGAGAGAGCGCACAGATTAGAGATATTTAGTGAGTACATAGTTGGTATATGTGTGGGGCGAAGGAAAGGAAAAGTAGGATCGAGGCAGTGGTAAACGTATAACAGGTTCATAACTTTCGGATATATCATATATTGTGGTATATGGTTCACAACAGAATACAGCTTTCGGTTAGTAGTTTGCTTTGAGAAACAGTTAACAATATGTACAACAGATTTGTGTATGAAATGAGATGATTGGCATGAGAGAGTTTGTCATACGGAGATACGTCTGTCGTTTCAATGGATTGATTTGGATATCTACTGGGGGGTTAGTTCTGGAGAGTCTACGGTTGCTAGCTAGAGTTACTCAGATTCAGAATTACAGATGATTATTCTGTTTGGTTATAGTTCACCTTTGGGCTGTGCTTCGTTCACCGCCTGGCGGATCTCGTTGATCAGCGTCTTGCAGTTGATGGCCGCCAATGATGCGCTCTGACTCTTGTTTATCTCCGTGTAATCGTCGCTGGAATGTCGCGAGGATCCATCGCCGAGACGCCTGCAATGCAACAATCGAGCACACGAGTATAACAGTTTTGTGTGCAACATTTTTTGTGTTGAGTGTGTGTGTGTGTGTGTCGAAAACCCACCTCTCGCGATCGGTCAACGCCTGATTGAGCTGATCGGTGAAGCTTGCCCCCGGCAGCGGCACCTTGCTCCCTCCTCCATTGGGCGCCACCCGCCTTCGACTCGGATACATCCAGTTCTCCGCCGGTTCGTTCTCCGAGAGCTTGTCGTTGGAGCCCAGTATCGAGTCGTACGAGCTGTTGAGATCACGATTGCTGCTGCTGCTCGCGGGCCCCGTGCCGAATGTCGTCATGCTGCCGCGATGGAAGTCATTGAGTCCCAGGCCCCCGCCATTGTCCGCCGGAGATCCGAGTGCATTCTTGAAGATGCTGGGAATGCTGCCCGAGACGGGGACACTCGTGACGATCGCCTGCTGCTGCTGTTGCTGCTGCTTGCTGGGATCCTTGTGCACCTGTGCGTACAGCTGATTGATCTGCGCCTCGCGCGTCGTCGACTGGTTCGAGGAGCTGGACGAGGACGATGTGGAGTTCAGGAGTATGGCTGTGGTGGTGCCCAAATGCCCATTGGACGAGGCGACTGCAGTCGTCGTCACAGCGGCCATGGCGGGCGGATGATGCTGCAGCAGATTGTTGACATTGGCCAGCAGATGGGCGTTGCCGTTGGAGAGACTGGTGATGGTGGTGTCATGGACGGAGGATGTGATGGCTCCGGCCAGATTGAGGGCCGAGCCCTCGGCCTCCTCTTCATCCTCCACCTCGTCGTCATCGGTGTCGTCCAGGGTGCAATCGGAGCTGCGGCTGTTGCTGCGGCTGCGCTTCATCAGGTTCCCATTCGAGAGCTGGCCGAGATCAGCAGTGCCGCTGCTGTTGCTGTTTCCGATGCCGTTCCCGTTCGCTCCATTCGCCGATGGCAGCTGGCGATTCGCTAGACCACCACGGGAGGCTTTTGTTTAGATACCGATTTTTGATTTCGTAGTGCGAATTTTGTTGTTGTGATTTTTTTTTTTGGTTGATTTATTGATTTTTTTTTTTGGCAAAAATGAGGGCGCAGCGTGTAGGCGTGGCAGTCAGACAAAAATTACAACGAACGAGCGAATGAACGACACAAAACGGAATAGAAAACACATGAGCAAAACAGTAACGAGAACGATAACGAGTACGGTAACGATAACGATAACGAGGGAACGGTAACGATAACGAGACGGCACACAGAGCAACAACAGATCGAAACGAGAGAGAGAGAGAGCGAGACAGAGTAAGCGAACGAGTATGTAGAGCAACCAAAAAATAGCAAGAAAAAAGTGAGAGAAAAATGGAGGGAAAGAGAACCACAATTAGCACAAAATGAGACAATGAGAGAGCAGCACAAAAGAGAGCAAAATATACTGTGAGAAAAGTGTGAATAAAATTGAATAATGGAAGATGCTTTCAGCCCAAGGTGCAGTCTCAAGGCACAAAAAAAAAAAAACAAATTAGAGGTGAAAGGGGATAATGGAGAATCATGAATCACAGGACTCACCCAGATCGATCTTCATCTTGTTCACAGAGTTATCGAGCAGCTCGTGCTGCGGCACGGCCGCGTCCAACTCATCCTTGACAGGGACCTTGCGCTCCACGGTGGCCGTCTTCACGCCATCCCCATCCGGCGAGAGATCAGAGATCTCGGTGTCCGAGAGCTCCGTTTCGAGCTTGTGGAAGAGCGGCTTTGGCGGTGCCTTGCGCATCATTTGAGGAGTGAGCTTTAATGTGGCACTGTCGTAGGGCAGGCCCACGGGGAAACCGGCCTTGCGCTGCGTCTCCTGCAGCTCGTGCTCCAGGTTGATCACCCGATCCTTGAGCTTCTTCACCAGCGCATTGTACTCGTTGTCATTCTCGCGCATCAGCTGCTGGTAGAACTCCTCGCGATGGCACGTGTCCAGCTCACGCTGCTGGTACTCCCGCACCAGCCGCTTCGCCTTGTTGTATTTCTTGTCCAACGCCATGTACTGGCCCTGCGACTGCTGCAGCATATTCTGCAGATTGGCGGCCTCCTTGCGGATGTTGCCCAGCTCTCGCTCGCTCTGGCGCAACCTTTCGCTCAGCAGCTCATTCTCATTGCCCGTCGTCTCGAGCTTTACGAGCTGCGGGAAGGAATGATCGGCATATTAGTGGCATGTTTCATTCAACAGAGCAACGTAATTGTGCAAATGGATGAGAGATGATTATGGTTTATGGAAATCAAAGGGGTTAAATAATAACTAAAAAAAACCAACCTTTCGTTTAAGATTCTGTATAATCTCTTCCTTTACCAGGCAACCCATTTCGCTCTACAAACAATAAGAAATCGAAATGAAAATAATTATAATTTAAATAAAAATAACAACAATAATGCCCCCATTTCTACAGCAAAATTGAAGATTACAGAACACAGAGATGATGCTTGTGCAAGAAATCTAAAGAACAGAATGAGAGCGTAAGCTGCTCATCGTTGCTGCTCGAGAGCCGGAAGAAAGAAAGGCATCGAAGCGAGACGTCTGAGAATTCAATAAAATCTACGTAAGAAAATGAGAGAGTGAGCTGTTCGTCGTTGGTGTTTAAACGAAGAGAATGAGCGTGAGAGCTGTTCATCGAGCGAGTTCTACCGAAAACTGTTGTTTCCATAAGATGCATCCATCATCTTTGTGTTCTATAATCTTCACTAAAACATACTTAAAAAAACAGTAAGAAATACAACTAAAGATAAAAAAAAAACACAGAAAAAGGTATTGGAAAAATGTGCTCTACAATTTTGTTGTTTGTATCTAAATTTTGTTTATCAATGATATTTTGTATTAAATCCAATTACCGCTTTGTGCTGCATTTCAATATCCCACACAAAAAATTTTGAAATTCAGCAAAAGGAGGAGAGAAAAAGAGAACACAAGTTTAGCAAAGGCTTCTGCCACACACACAGAGAGAGAGTCGCGTCTCTCACTCTCGCACTCCATTCATGGCGCTTACCTCCTGTAGCAGCCGCTTGAGCGACTCTACCTCCTGCGAGTGCGTGGCCTCCACCTCCATGGGATGCTCCACTTGAACGGGACTCGAGGGCCCCTCGCACACACTTGAATTCGCAGACACGGGCTGCGTGGAGTCCTCGGAGTAGTCGAGTGTGCGCCGAAGGTACTCCTCTTGTTGGCTGTAAAACAGAGAGCTATGGACACTTAGTAATCGTACGAAATGAGAGTGTGTCAATCCAAGCTCTAATTACCGCTTTAAGCGCTCCTCTTTCTCGCGATCGGCCTGCAAACTCAGTCGTATGAGCTGTGCTACCTCAGAGTTTTCAGGATCGCGTTCGCGTCCAATTTGGAATTTGACTAGACCGGAAGTATTCCGTAGAACAGAGGCTGCATATGCCTGTGTAACGCCCACAAGACTCTTGCCGTCCACTTCAATTATCTGATCGTTGACCTGAAAAGAACAAAAGAGTGGGAAAAAAAATTATAACGAGAAGGAACGTGCGAGTCGCTTCTGGGGACGCGACTCTACTTATACCCGTACTCAGTCAGTATATACATTTTTGATCTTATGATTTTTTAGAATTTTAGAAAAAAAAAATTTTACATTTTACATTTTTTTGCTACATCTGATATCTACATCTACATCTACAATGTATATTCTACATCTAACATGTAGATTGTACATGTTCCATTTAGATTCTACATCTCCTCCGCTAGGGGTTGCTCGCGCACTGAACGCGGCAGAGTGTGCGAGCGAGAAGGAAAATGAGTTTCGTTGTCGTCGTCGGGAGGGGGACAGGGGAAGCAACTGAAAATTAATTTCTTCATTCTGGCTATAATTATGATCCGATCTGGTTCAGATTCGGCAGTCTGGTAGGTATGGGCATCTCTACGATACTGCGTTTTTAGTTTTATCGTATCTTTAAAATGTGCCTGCCACAGATTTTCGTCCTTTGTGGGGGCGGAAGGGGGCGGGGCGAAATTTTGAATACACTTGTAGCAGTGTGATATCACATGAGTGTGGAAACCAAATTTGGTTGCCCTAGCTCTTATAGTCTCTGAGATCTAGGCGCTCAACAAGACGGACAGACAGACAGACGGACAGACGGACAGACGGACAGACAGACATGGCTCTATCGACTCGGCTATTGATGCTGATCAAGAATATATATACTTTATGGGGTCGGAAACGTTTCCTTCTCTGCGTTACACACATCCACTTTTACCACAAATCTAATATACCCCTTAACTCTTTTTTGAGTACGGGTATAAAAATCATCGGGCGAACCTTACATTAAGCTGAAAACCTCACCTGAATGCGTCCGTCTCTGGCTGCTGCTCCGTTATCGGTTATAGTTTTCACAAAGATGCCCAATTTCTCAAGACCCGCATCGGCGCCAACGCCCATGCCAATTATGCTGAGACCCAAACCCTCGGGACCTTTCATCAATTCCACGGGGAAGACATGCATCTTCTCCACACGCTTCTCCAGCTCATATTCCGCCGAAGCGGCCACAGGATCAACATCTTCATTCCTGCGATCGTAGTCGTTCACCGAGAATGTGGAATACACATGGATGGGGCCAGAGCTGAAGCGTACTTTCGGATTCTTGCGCACAGTAATCGGCGGATAGGAGCAATCGTCGTCATCAAAGTCTAGGAGACCTACAAAATGAAAGACAAAAAACTCACATATAATTCACAGAAATAAAGCAACAAAAATCAGTTAGTTTACCTGGAACTTCCATCCAAAAGTTGCCATCTTCGAAATAATGGACACCCGCTTCGACGAGCACCTCCTTGCTGCGCACAGGTGGATATTCCGGTATGTAGTACTGACTGTCGTCGAGTTCTGTTATGCCAGTGCTCAGAACGGTTGAATTTGTGGCAGGCTCGGCTTGGTCCAGCGAGTACGTGGAATTGTGTTTGCTGGAGATGATGCTGTCATCGATGGTGGTCGTCTGATTGAGCGTCGCATCCGATTGGGTGGACTCCACCGATACAATCGACTCGTGCAGGGACTCTCCGCCCGATGTCACATAGGTGTGATTCAGATCGGAATGTTTGTAGCCGTTCTCTAGATCAGCAGCCTCCCGCTCCCGCTCACGACCCACTGCCGCACCCACGGAGGTGATTAATAGATTCTCTAGACTCCTTTTGGGCGCCTCGAGCACATCCCTTAGCCACTCGGGCTCGTCGTCGTTGTCGTGCCGTGTGTTGGCGGTGGCTGTGGTGGCCGTCGATGGTGTGGTCGTTGTGGTTTCTGTCTCTGTGCTGTCCGCCTTGATGAAGGTGGCATTCAGTGCAGCAGAGGCCTGGCCATAACCGACAATGTCCACGGCTTCAACGTCATCAGAGTCCTCCTCCCCATCGCCATTGGCATCGGCGTCGTATATCTCGTAGGGCTCGTCCTCCTCCTCCTGCTCCCGCTCCCGCTCGTAGCGGGTATGCTGCTCCTGCGCGTCCTCTTCCTCGTAGGGCGGCTCCTCCTCCTCTTCAACAATCGCAGGGACAGCTGCAATTTGTATATCCTGTTGCTGTTCCCCGTTGGCTACTGATTGCAATGGTTCCTCGATGAGATTCTTGATGCTGGTCGGCGATGTTGCTGTGGCAACAACGGCAGCAACGGCCACACCCACACCCACACTGGGTGCAGCAGCGTTGAGTATTTGTTCGACTTCCTTTGCCTGCTCGTCGGAGAGCAGCGATTGTTGTCTGCAGAAAAGAAAAAGAAAAGAGCAAATGGCTTTAGCATAAGTTTTCCTTGAGGGGGCAAAAATCCAGAGAAGCGAGAAATACAAGATAGATCTAAGGACCAACCTGATTTTGCTTTCCAAAATGCTACGCAGGACAGGACAGGCACAGGCACACACAAACAGAAGGCACGCAGGAAGGACGAACGAATGCAGGACGATTACGGCATAACAATAACAATAACAATGCAAATATTACAATAAATAAATGAAAAAGAAACAGAACAGGCAAAAATTACAAAATAAATAAATGCAAATAAAACAGGTGAAAACAGAGAGCACAACAGAGAGAGAGAGAGAGAGAAAGAAATGAGGAAAATTATATAAAATATTTATGGACATGTGCAAATATGTATACAATACTATAATAATAATACGAATATAAATATGCATACGCTTAAAGTATTATCAACTTGAATGCAAAATGTGCGTGTAAATAAAATTAAAGTGCATATTTAATAACAGTAATTAAGTGGCAGAGCAAGCGCAGCGACAAGAAGGCGTCGCCGCATCGACAAGAGTGGCGGCGGCAAGTGCAATTAAAATGTAATGCAGTTTTAATTTACACTCTCCAACAGGGCAGTGCGCCAAAGGATTTCCAATTCGAGTTGGGTTTCGGTTTCAATTTGTGGCCGAGTTTTGGCATTCATTGGAATGTCATCCTAAGCGTTAAGCCCCCAACACACATGCAGAAAAATGTTACACTTTAGTGAGAACTCGCACTGAGAATGCGAAATTCCTGTGGAAATTGCAGTGTCCATGGATAAACCCCTTTTGGAGGTATCTTCTTTCTATCGAATCCTCCTTGCAAGAGATCGATCCACAAATGTACTAACGTTGCACTTTCCCATCTGCCTTGCCACATCTGGTGTCACTTAAATATGATATCCCCACACCGGTAAGTCTCCGTTTTAATCGCAGGTGTAATAAAATCTGTGAGCAGGTAAAATGCAGTCAGTGCCGCAGAGCAGAGAAGTACGCGACGCCAAATTAAACATGTACGCTTACACGAGCACGTAGCAGTAGCAGCAGGAGCATGTGGCAAGGGGCAGTAGCAGGAGCAGTATGTGGCAGGCAGATCTCCAATGAATGTGGATGTGTGTGTGTGTGTTTGTGGGGGGAGCAAGAGAGTAGGGTACAAAAGTTATGTCGCATATGCGGCGTTGCACACGCAATGACATCTGAACGTAACAGAACCAAAAGCTGGGCAGGTATATCGGGCATCGTACAGCCAGTGGCAGAAGACAAAAAGGGGATACCAGAAGGCAAAGGACACACAACCAGTCGTTGGCAGTGTGGGAAATAGAGAAAGATAGAGAGAGAGAGCACACACGGACACCATCAGAAGGTAGTGGCAGTGGCAGACAGTTGTCAGAGTTAGCTTTTGGGTGCATTTAACGTTTAAGTGTTTTGTCACTCTCACTTGTGCGTGACGTCACGTGGAAGGTGCACGGATATACTGTGTACAGTATACAGGGATGCCTCTACAGGTTCCCTTCCACACCTTCCTGCCGCTCTTCAGCAGAGCAGTGTGTTTGTTAATTACTGCCAACAATTGCCAGCGACAACGCCAGAAGAGGAGAGACCAGCGACAACGTTGCTAATCATTGAAATACTTACACACACACAAACACGGAGACACAGATGCAGAGGGAGAAAATACACGAGAGAATATGGCAGCTTGGATACCCTTAATAAAGGATTATTCATAGAGAAGATATATATGTAAATGATTTCTATATGTCATGATGGCATGCATCATCTTTGTATATTTGTCGGATCTTTGAAGAAACACCTCCTCCTTTATATTCCCACAACTTTTGCAAGGTTTTGTCTTGAGAAATCCTTTTCCTTAGAGAAAAACAGCTTTACAAACCGACACGGAAAATCATGGTACCATTTCTGGAAAGGAAAGCGACTTGGCTGCGTGGCAAGTGGTTGATTATGTTGTTGATAATGAGAACCAAGTGGCAAGCAGGAAAGCAGGCAGGCAGACAGGCAGACACACGTGAAGGCAACAGCAAACGGCAGTTGGGCGGCAGAGGCGCACAGTGTCATCTGCCCTGCTCCTACCTCCGTCCCTGGTCCCTGCCTTCCTTCAGGTGTGCCTGTGCCATGCATTTAAATGAGTTTTCCCCAACTGCAACTGCAACTGCTGCTGTTGGCAAGCATCGCCCGACCATTTATATAATTGCAATTACAATTCGCATTCATTTTCACACCGCGAGCTGTACCGCAAGAGACTACGGCTACGCGTAATAATTAGCTATCTTTTTTTTATTATTCGGTAGCTCTGAAATCCTAAACATCCTGCAATTCATTGAAAATCAATTGGAATATTTCTATAATCCCCATGGACAATCCTCTCGACAGCCCATAAAATCCAATTAAATAATTAGCAAGCTATTTTCAATTGGAAATGGAAAATCTCTATAGATTTTCACTCGAAACCACTCGAAAAAGCAACAAACAACAACAACTAAAAGTTGAGAGAAAAACCCCATTGAAAATGCCATTTAGACAAACACCAAATAGGGAGGAAATAAGAAAAACTTATGTGCGGCGAAGGGAGAGAGAGAAAGCCCCCTAAGCGGCGGAGGGAGAGGGAGATTAAAGGAAAACCCCTAAGCGGCTTATGGAGAGTAGATGGAAGGCAGAGGTCACCTCCACTTGACGCTGATCCCCGCAGCAATTCAAAACTCTCGGCGAAAAATAAAAATAAAAAGAATTAGCATAAATTTATAGTTTTATAATTAAAATAAAAATAACACGGTTCCTTTTTTTTTAATTGCTAGCAAAATGTGGGGCATACCTACTCCTACTACTCACTGCCTGCAGGCCACACTACCACACGCCGCACACACACCTTCTGCGGCACCAGTCCTGGGGGATGCCGGTGGCATCAGGTGAGGTGCCCGCCCGCAGTTGCATGCATAACAAAATATTACGCATACGCAGCGCAGCGCAGCGGGTGACGTGAGAAAACAGCCAGCAATGACAAAGTTTCGTTGGCACCAGCGGAAAAAATAATTATGAGAAATAAGCATGGAAAGCGATATGAGTGAGGCCCACCAACACGGCAACAAAGCGACAAAGCAGAAACAGCAAACAGAACCAGAACCAGAGCCAGAGCCAAAACCCGCTTCGAATGGGCATCAACTTTAACGATATTTAAATACAACACCCACCAAACGCGAAAAATATTCCGAGGAAAAGTGTTTTTGGGGGGAAAAATGTGTGAAAGACAAATGCAATTATGCAGCATTGCGGGAGAGCGGGGAGTGCTGTTCTGTTTGCTCTGGGCAAACAAAAACAGCGGGGGAGTGGCTCTCGTTTTTCGTTTCCTATTTATTAGAGCACAAGCGACAAAAGTGAAATGAAAATGCATATAAAACAAAGACTAAAAAATGCAAAGGTTTACATTTAAGATATACCCTTTAATCAGAGGAATACCCTTTACCTTCGGACTTGCCATTTGAGACAACAATAAGCCACAAAAATTTATTAGAAAATGTCAACAGAAAAACCATCAAAGTCTGTGGCATATGGAAATGCCATAAAGCGGCCGCGCGTACTAGGGTTAATATTTGCCTAGATGTGGCCGGGGGTTTGTGGGTTTGTCTAAGGGGTGTTTTTGGTGGGTGGAGTGTGGTGTGTGGACACAAACAAACAAGGTCAGTCTGCTTATTGTTTCGTCATACGTTTTTAATTAATTTAAATAACAACAGCCACAAGGAAACCACAATGCCAAAGCCTTGCCTCACAAAACAAAAAAGTATCAGAGCCATAGAGCTCCTCCCTCTCTCGCTCTCTCACTCACTCGGTCTCTGGAAAACTCACTCAAGAACAGCATATTCTCTTTTCCACACGCTCAATTTCTCTATCCCTCTCGCTCTCTCTCTCTCTCTGAGTCTCTCTTAGAGTGAGTTTTCGCCTGGTGGCCCTGGCCCCACACAATGACGTCATATATCCTACGTCCACGACAACGTCCTTCCCATTGTGTTTTGTGATAAATTTAACAGAATTTATGTTTAGTCATTCGTGAGTTGTACAGTTTACAGTTAGGTTAGGTTAGGACTGGGCTGGGCAGGGCAGAGCAGAGCTTTAGCTTTCAGTTTATTAATAGCTCTTTCGCTTGGTTTAAATTGGAGGAACACGATGGTCTATCATTCCCTGGGAGTGGAGTCGAGTCGAGAGTCGCTGCCTGTCCCTGTTCTCTGTGTGTGTGTGTGTGTCTGAGGCGAAAGTTTTTTTGGCCTGGTTTTGAGCGTTGAACCAAGTCAAGGTGAATCATGACGATGACCAGGGTATCATCCTCTGCATACATATGTTGGATGGGCATTATATTTATGGTTTATCTGCTTAAAATTGCCACAATTTTACAATTTTCGAGGGGGTTAGCTCCTGCTCTCCCTCAAGCATATGCAACGGATGGAAATTTGAATGCAGAAAATGCGAGAGAGAGGGAGAGAGAGAGAGACAGAGAACCGAATACAATGAAAATTGAAAATACAATTTTATCATGACAGACACGTACGAGTACGAGTACGAGAACGGAACAACAGCAACATTCAACATTAAACATTCCTCTCCACCTCCGCCACCAGCAAAAATTCTCAGTGGGGAAAATCCAAATCGGGAATCGAGCAGAAATAACAATCAGGCAGGAACAATATTTACTGCGTGCGCACCAAAGTATGCAACGAGAAAAAGTAGCGGACACATCCTATGGTAATGCGACTATGCAGATACCCCGCAAATCAAATCAAGTCAATCAATTATAGTAGCTTATTTTTTACAATGAATTTCCGTATTTGGATATTTTTTAACATTATTTAAAAATCGACCAAGTGTCATTCTCATAGCTATAAACTTGTGGAATCCACAAGAGCTCTACTCTCATTTTTCTTGTGTTTATACTCTCCCGTAAGCAGGAATAATAGACCCCCTCTACTCTTTGTCTGCCAGGGTATCAAAAATCAAAAACGACAAAGGACCAAAGGGGGGGCATAGAGGGAGTAGGAGAGATATGTATGTAGGGAATATAGCGACGTACACAAATATGAGGAGCGAACCAGCAATGACAAT